AATATTAATGAAATTTGGCATATAGATGATAAATTATATTTTAAATCAATAAAGGATACTTTTATCTTTATTTACATAGAAAAATCTGCGTGTTACTACTAGTCATATCAGAATGTAAGTTTGTGAAAAACCTTTGTTAATTACCCAATTATACTTAAGAATTTGGACAGATTTGGATGATATTTGGTACACAGATATCATATAGTGGATTAACACATAGAATACGAATACTTTTAATCCCAAATCACACGAGCCAAGACACGGTTGATGGCTGGGATCGCATAAAAGATTTAAGCCAATCTTATAATTGATCCATTCTTCACTATATTTTGTCACTAAATTGCAATATCACAAATGCCGGCTACTTTATTCTTGCATCATAAGCTACGGTCCACTTGCACACTATACCAAACCCGCCCAATTACTTCCATCCGCTAACTACAGATTCTTGGCAAATGTTATTGCCAAACGATGCAAATAACCCAATATACCGACGTTATACAGTAAACACGGCGTTATTTATATTTATTTGTAAAACTCTTACGTTAATAGTTATTTTATTTCATCGCTAAAATAACACGTTCATTACGAACAAAATATCAGGTTTTTTTTATGTTTTGAGCTTTAATGACATCTTCCTGTTATTCCTCAGGGGCGTGCGATTTTTTAAATGAACTTTCATTTATGACGCTTCTTTGGCCTCTGTCATGTCTGGGATTTATTTAAGTTCTTGGTCTTTCTAAATGATGTTGGTTGATGCCACCTTTTTGGTAACCGACCTCTTCCACGTAGTTCTAATTCCGTTGAGTCTTCTCTTGCCCCCTTACTGACCAATTGACAATTGGCTACTTAAAATTTTATAATCGTCTGCGTACATATCGAATTAGAAAACATAAAATATGGCAATTTATATTTTTTTGTTAATTCACAGCTTTATATTATTTTATATACAATACTGTTACTAATAATTTTCAAAGTTATTGAGATTTTAATTACATACATACATTTATATATTTATCACGCCTCGCTCCCATAAACCTATATAGGATAAGCAGAAACAATGGAACGCCAAATGCTTCAATTCAAACAGATCTCTTTCGCTTCCTCTACATTCATCTTCATACACGTTCGCTGGTAACGAGTACTTTTAATTTCACCTTTCTACAACACGTCACCTATTGGATCGACATACGTCCGTCTAGGGTGGCATCTTCCTATACCGACATCTTTTGATTATATATCACCTTGATTATATTATTATTTTATTTTTGATCTCATATGCCTCTTATTTGTGTCGCTTAGTTGTGTATTTTATTTTCTTGTCTTATTTAACTTTTTGTATTTAACTAATATGAACAGTGTATACCGGACACACTAAACATTACGTTTTTCGAAAGATATTTGCGCGAATATATTATAATATTTATATGTAAATTAATGCTTGCAATTTAATTATAAACAAGCACTAACCAAAATGCGGCCTTCATGGTTTCCGTTCGTATGCTCCTGCGCCGGCAACATTTACTGCCTGATCTATTGACATGATTATCGACTGACACAATTTTAGATTAACTCGTAAATACAACTTCAGAACAACACATTGCCATGTGGTGATATATTGATAGATTTATAACACCCTAAATGTTTTACGAATAAGATTTAAGAAGTGTTTATTTCAATTCAAATTTATTGCAGTTTCATATCCATTTAAATCGACCTCCACAATGATATTGAAAAGGACGGTCGAATCAAAGATGATGTCGTGAATGTCCACTAATTTTGAAGGTCCAATGCGTGTCACTCGCGCGTGCACTTCGACATCTAAGTAAACCAAAATAGTCTAGCGACGACGACGTCGGCCCGGCGACCGAGATAGCCGCCGCAGTGCGTCCGCGGATCCCTCTCGCGCCGGTTCTATTTCCAACTGATGTTCCGACGCATCCCAAATCGCTCGCAACAATAATACTGCATCGGACAACAGTGAAATGGCACTGGACTTTCACCGCGGGAGACGCTTCCGCTACTACAGGAAACGTAAGCGCACACCAGCTTAGAACAACATGCCGCACGCGCCCAACGGTGTCGCTTCTGACACCGTCAACGCAACCACTTCACAACTAAAGTTGCATATACCGGAACAAACTATTAATGGCAACTGCACCAATGGAACCAACGGGATACTTTCTCCTACTAATGGAGCATTATCACCAACATCAAATGGGCTACTATCACCGCCGACTCCGGATACGTCTCAGAGGAAACCACCAAAACCACCACCGAGTCGTCCTATATTGCCCATGAAAAAATCTAAAACGCTGCCGATACATTTTGAAGAGACAATTCCACCGAAAACACCAACAACTCTGCTAAATGGCAAAAAACTTTTTGTCACAAAAACTTTGAAAGAGATTCACACTATTCCACAGAATTCTCCAGATAGCAAGTGCCTAGTGACTCGTTCGCCTAGTCCTACTTATAAAAGAAGTAATTCATCTGCCTCTGTGGAAACAGGTTCAATCGCAGAACTTGCAAGACGTCACAATCCAAATAACAACATTTTAATTTCACGATCTCCAAGCCCATTCTCCTGTAGCAGTGTACGAAGCTCTGCCAGCCAATATTCAACATGTAGTAGTAATGGTACTTTTGTTCCGCTGTCTCGCTCGTCGAGCACGAACTCGACTTTATACAACAGAACACCCACACCGAGAAGAATGTACCCACAAACCAGTGTGAATAGTATGGACTTACGAGAACTTAAATCTAAAGAACAAGCTCCAGTTATATTCGATGCTAATTTGTCGTTTGTGCTGGGCTGTAATAAACAGCCATTAAGACAAAGATTTAAGCCAATTGCAGCACATCTGGAAGAAGGTACCTCTTCCAACTACTTAAGCTCAAAGATAGATAACTTTTTAAAAAGGACAGATCATGTAATGGATGAATGGCGTAGGCTCGGCCATAAGGATGAGCCCGATTTAGAAATGTACTATGATGGTAAGAAAAGAAGAATCGGCAGATCAAAGTCAGCTACCAATATTATGATTAAAGGATTCACATTATTCAGTCGTAACGGAAGTAGAGCTAGTAGCGTCTGCAGATCAACAAGAGGAATATCGGAGGATCGCACAACAGTTTCTGAATTGGAGGAGGTTGGTGAATCATCGTTGCTCAACCATTTTTATTTCCAGGCGTACAAAACGAATGAAAACATTTCGTTCTATAATACCCAATTATAAATTACAGTTGATTCTTCGAGTTATACACGCTTACATCGCCGGTGGCGCTTACTCGCCGCGTATCGGTGACTGTTGCCAAAAGATTTTTTTCATTGTTGAGTTCTCACAATTGATGTAAGAAATGTGTGAAATTCTTGGCCGTCCATCATCACTACATTTCATTGTCAGTCAAGTCAAGGGAGGAGTTTGTTATTCTGGAGTTTTCTTTAACTCTAGCTTTCAACGGACATGACATTTTGTCAACATAAGTTTCTTGTATTGCATGAATATATAAAACAGTTGTTGTCCACCGGACGGCGACCAGTTCCATACGTCATTACGTTCCAATTTTAACTTGTTATGTCTGAAATATTACCACGTAGTTGATGTTTCAATCATAACTTGGCAGACGATGGCAAGCGATCTAATAACCATCAATTATCCGCTCTGTTCAATTATTGCTATCATGTATGTTAATATCATAAAAAGATGTAGATTAATTTGGTACATCTATTTATAATAAATATTATTTATAAATAATGTAAAGTTACTAGGATATTACTTTAGTTGATACTAATATCTTTACTATAGTTTTGGTAGAGAAATTAATTTAAAATAACAAACACAATGCTGTCTTGTAATTTTTTACTTATTATTTAGATACATACATCGAAAATAGACACATATTTAGATTACTAAAAAAGTGATCATTTTTCAGACACATGTATGAATCTTTTGCAAGTAGTTATTACTATTTTCTTTTTATTATAATCCAGTTGAATATCAATGATATTGCTTATCTATAATAAATATAGAACATCAATGAATATCGCTTTGAAAATAATGATAGATACAATCACATATACGTATGTGTAAGTGCCTTGGACTATGCCAGATGCCCCGTATTTTACGGGTTACTTGCGAAAATAAAATACTGCGTAGTCAAAGCTCCGTAATGATTATAAATTCGGTCTAGGCTAACAAAACTTTAAACTTGTTGATTCGTATTCGAACATTTGTAGTGCCTATGACTGTGTTTTCTGAATTCCAATGTTTAACATAAATACTTCCATAAAAATATCAATATTTTTGATACAGGCATTTAATTCTTAAATTAATCATAGGCTGCAATCCTTTGTGTATATATGTCTATGTGAAATTACTATTATATGTAAATTTATATAAAATAAACAACAATATTCTTCAAGCCAATCCGCTTGCCAAGCGTGGCAACTACTAGCAAAGCCCCCCAAAAGGGGTAGGCCTATGTTCAGCAGTGGACAATTAATGGCTGACATGATGATGATGATGATTATTCAATCATCACATTCATAATAATTAAAAGTAAACACAAGTTATAATCAGAACGCTTCGGTCAAAATTATTTCTGACTGCAATAATTTTAGATTAAGAACGCTTTTTACTTTGACATATTTAATACAGAACCAACACGAGAGTAAAGAGTTAAAAATACAACAAAATAATAAACGTATTTCGATATTTTCCTTTGCAAAAATTAGCGGAAATATCACGCAATGCACGAAAAATACATGCGAATTAACAGAATCTGTTGGAGATCGATTTAAAAATAATACGGTATTAGGTCAAGTCAGTTTTAGTCAACATTGCTTTTTGATCGTTTTTCTTGTAATACGTACTTTGATCGGTTCCAAAATTTCAACTGTAACATATACATTACCATCGTCATCATATCAGCCTGTCCACATATACTTAAAAAAAATACCAAAACACTCACATTACTTATTATTATTTTACTTTCAGCTATCCGAAGTTGGCGGTGAGCTCGCTGAGGAAAGAGCCGCTGCAGCTCTCGCCACAGAACGCGCGGACGCTGAAGCTGCTGAAAGGCTGCGCGTCGAACGTGACAATAGAGATTTGCTTGCGAACAACCAGCGCTTGCAGCAAGTAAGTAATCTGTACACATATAATAAAATTGTAACTAAGTGTTTAATAATACAATTATAAAAAAAGACTTTTTTATATACAACTAAGGTGGCAAACAAGCATACGAGTATAGTCCGTATGATGGTACGATCACTATAGTCTATGGACACATGTTACACTAGGGATGTTACGTGCGCGTTGTCAACCCTGAAGAAACCTTAATTAACCTTTTTTAAATAACTTCATACTGAAGTATCTAGGAAAAGTCTGAGCGGAAGAAAACTCCTTTGAAACTGCACTATACGTGACCATTTAGGTTCACCATGACCATAAGGATGAATTTCCTATCGATAAAGGACAGTGTGATCATAAAAAATGCAATACTCCATGAGGAATCAGAAATGTTTAAAAATAGTACATTACTGCAGCGGCCAGCAATTGAGGCATTGATGGACGAACGTGCAAATGTGGGCTGAGGCGTAGCCGAGGCACACATACGTTAGTACTTTTCTCAAACAATGCGCGAAAATCAAAAACACAATTTTACTTTTTAAGTTCAATGACGAATAATGAACAATAATAATTTTTCACGCGCCATAATGTTCTTTTGTTTTTTTTTTCCAATAAACCGGTTTCTATTTGCAAGCCAGTTCGAAATTTAAATAAAACCTTTTATTAGTTACCTCCTTGGTAGCCATGTTTCGATTTAAGAGGTCATTCCATTTTTTATTAAATTACAAGACAGATATGAGTTTACATAGTAATTTATCTGGCCGCAAAACACGACAGATATGGATTTTCATACAACTTTTGCCGGCCGCTGCCCGCATGTATCTGGCCAGTACGGCAATTTTAATTTATCTCGAAGAAGATCGTCAAAATAATGCTCACATTTCCAAGCATGTTTGAGAAATATATATATATATATTAAGGGTCTTAATAAGAGCAATATAAGTCAGAACAGTAATTTTTACAATTCTGTTTGTGTGGTCCAATAGCACGTAAAAGCTGATACATACAAAAACGAAATGACCGGAGTAACATTTATTTCTGCCTCTTCTGATCTACTAGTGAAGCTTAGTTTATAAAGGATTTCTACTATACAAGTTATTACGTAAAATTGGAAAAAAATATTGTGAAATCTAACGTACACTGAAAGTCGATCAGTCGATATTTGTTTTAACCATACAAACCATTCATTATGGCACTCATCACAGCATGCACCTTTCGTTAGAGCACGCCTTTCGTTAAATAATATTTCAAAAACAGGTACTGATGTCTACCTGTTCTCTATTATTACATCTAAATAGAAAAAACCTCAAAATAATGATAGGGACAATAACGGGCCATTGTCCATTGAACAAACATTTATACACAATAGGAGCCACAGACAGCCCTCTATGTCGAGGCTGTTTCCGACGCCAAAGAAACGGCTGCTCACGTAATCCTGGAATGTGAGGCTGTGGCCCATCAACGTTTAGAAATTCTCGGAACGGTGAGGTCGCTCCGTCAGGCCTGTGAAGAACCCAGGAAGCTTCTGTGCTTCTGGGCGGAGCTAGGTTGGCTGTACTAGCCGCGACTCATACGCACAACGACCCAAATAGGAGGCTAAGCGCGGAAAATAGTCTTTTTCACATTCACATTCTACCTGTTCTCTGGCGGAATTTACAAGGGCTGAAATCTTTGCTATATGTTGCTATAAAATCTAAACCAACATTGTTTTTTATACCTTTTTTTTAACTCAACAAGTGTCTTCATTCGGTTTTTTTGGCAAACCACACTTTTATAAGAATATTAATATTTTCGATTTCACCATATAGGTACTTTATGCATACGTATACACATTAACATAAGGCAATCATCAAGAAAACACAAGTGATTCTTATATTATTATTAACAGGCGTCAGAGCGTCTAGAATTAGAGCTCCTTCACTGGCGGTCAGCAGACAGTGGTGGTGCTGAACCATCGGACTCTGAGGGCTCGGAGGCCGAGGCTGGCGCCAACGCCGACAAATACAAGCGACGGTATGTAACAGGCTTCATGTATTGTAAAATATAAAATAAAATGTTACGGTTTGAAAAATGGAATACAATCTATACTAATGTTATGAACGCGGAATTACTTGTTTGAACGCATTAATCTTTGTAACTACCAGTCAAATTGAAATTTCATTTTTGCTTTTCTTTACAAAGGTTATAGGCTATTCAACATCACAATACGAGCACAGGCAAAACCGTGAAATAAGGCTAGTAATGAATAATAATAAATATCTACCACTGGACAATAAAATCAAGAAAAAGTGATATCAGGAGTTTTAATAAGTGCAATAAATATCGATAATTTTAAGTTAATTTAGCTTTAATCATTTTAAGAATTTTTACCTGTCTGTACATTTGTGTCCGCATTACGCAAAAACTTCCCCTCCAAATTGAATGCAATTTTAACAGTTATGTTCCTTAAGGTCGAACTTTTAAACTCCGATTTATGTATTAATACGTCATATAGAAGTGGCCAATTTATTGGTTCAACATCTACGCGTACAAAGTCAGGGGTAAAAGCTAGTATAGTACTAGTTAAAATACATGTAAAAATTAGAATCGCCCCTTTTTTAAAGTAGCTTAAAATGACATTCAAACCAAAATGTCTGATCACGGTTTAAAAATATATAGTCGAATCTGTAATTTGTAAACAATGTTTTTAAATCCACTTTAAATTCGTAAGAATTGCGACTAATCCCAACACACAAGTTTTCGACTTGTTTAACTGGCAAACATCTTATAAACATACGTACCTAATCTTTGCATCGAAGTAAGACTATATATATTCGTGAAGACGTTGTATATATTATGTAATTATATTTATATTATGTATATCTACATACACATACGCACTATATATGTATAGCATACAGTGTATGTATCATCAGAGGGAGAGTTTGTACAAGTCAATTGCTTGTGTACCTCTACCTCTGTCCCATTCGTGTTTCTACCGTGAAGCAGTTGTGTTTGCATGGCTGTGTTTCGGTTTGAAGGGTGGGATATGGCGTGAATTTACTGGGTACGGAGGAATAACACCTGAGTTCTCAGGAATGGCAACGCATAGGGGGTATCATGGGCGAAACAGTATACTCTGTTATGTCCATGCTACTGCTCATTTCTATAGGCGACGGTTACCACTTTCCATCAGGTGGGCCGTCAGCTTGTTTGCTATTCTAAGTTGTATAAAAAAAAATAAAAAAATATCAGCCGTTATCTGTCCACCGCTGAACATAGGCCTCTCTCATAACAGGAGGTTTAACCAGTAGTTACCACTGCAGTTAAGCTTTGGTAACGTTCTAAGAAGGACGCTGCTATCCATCCCTCGATCATTATGTTTCCTTAATCGCCTCTTACGAACCATTCGATCGAGACCACGCAGTAATTATTTACTATTATAATAATACATAAGTAATAAAACGTTTGGCATTCTAAGTTTCCTACGTCCTTATTTATAAGTGTAAAAATGAGTTTGCTTATTAGTTATTGATATAATGGTTGAAGAAGGACATAAGTAACTTTTTATCTCAGTCAGTGAAAATATCCCGGTCACACGGACGAAGTCGCGAGTTAAAGCTAGTTTAAAAAATCAGATAAATTGGTTTAATTTACATCTTTGTTGGTAAGGTCTCGTTGGTTTAACTACCAATTCAACTATTGCAGCTAATCTTTTTTACACAACACTCATTGATTTTTACAAACACTTTAGTACCTAAATCAAATAATTAATTTAAAAAATAATAAATAATTTACCTGATTGATTTTTTTTTCAATACACTGACTCATGAAAATATTGTTATATTTTTCAGATATGAGAGTGCCCACCGAGAGCTGCAACTCCTTAGAGCACAGCTCCGAAGGCAGCACGAGGACGACCTGGAACAACTCGTCACAGTCAAGAAACAGCTCGAGAAAAAGGTATGTAATTTCCCCACAATTTTTTTTAATGGATGATGATGGATCAATAGCCCCACCTGCGCTATCGGTATACACTGTCGGGGCACCAGTGAGTATGAAAAGGTGAGGATGAAAAGACAGGTCAGTTAGCCTATCGTAGTGAATACACTCGGAATGCAGCACGATGGTTTCCAGAGGGCACCATGTGGAGGTCGACCTGGTTGGTTATATTGCTAGCAATGGGACCTTTAGTCTCCATTATTAACAACCCCCACTACTAATATTATTATCCCTCTCACTATTTCATAACCTGTACATTTTATGATACACTATAAAAAGGCTATCTATAACTCCTTTTGATTTTAACGTAATATTTAAAATTCATAACTAGATGTGTTATCTCTCATTAATATTTCATATTATAAATAAACTTAAATATCTTCTTCTATTAACTTCTATTCTATTCTACTATTTTTTAAAGAGCATATTGGAAGGAAAAATAGAGGGTAAAAGAGCAAGACCGTGAAATAACTGCATGGGACAGGTAAAGAAAAAACAGGCGTCATGTCGTATAGGGACGTCAAAGATAGAGCTAACTGGAAGAGAGAATGCATAAATTAGTTGCCCAGACAAGAGGAAACTCTTAAACGAGTAGAAGAGGACTTATTTACTAAAACATATATTTTAGTTTTTGAATTCTTTCGAAATAGTGGAATCAACTTTACATAATAACAAGTTATATGTCGGTCTTACTCGTGTTAGTCAGAGCACTATAAATATTAGGCATTTTGCCAACATTTTACATTTTTAAAATTGTACTAAGAAAAATTTTATTATAATTATAAGTATGATTCTCTATTTATTCCGATACTGCGGGTAAACAAAATAATTGCAAAGTACTAAATGCCAGATATAGTAGGTTTGAAGAGTGGGATATGGCGTGAATTTACTGGGTACAGAGGAATAACCCTGAGTCCTCAGGAATGGCAACGCAGGGGGGGTATCATGGGCGAAACAGTATAACAAGCTGATGGTCTGACGGCTGAGTGGTAACCGTCGCCTATAGATATGAGCAGTACCATGGACATAACAGAGTATACGGTTTCGCCCATGATACCCCCCATGCGTTGCCATTCCTGAGGACTCAGATGTTATTCCTCTGTACCCAGTACAGTACGAACTAGTTAGCAACTAGTTATAAAAAAGCAAATTCCTTCCGCACCAATTTAATTATGGTAAATGGTAGTGATTTATAGTAATCCTTTTATTCATAAATGTCTTATTAAAACCAAATTTAGCTCTCAACTGATTAGAATTTTTCTGTAGAGGCAAATTATTAATACATGACAATGTTAAAATACGTCTATACAAGGTTTTAATTTTTATGAAAAAGGAAAGAATGTGCTCCAGCTAGACGACACATACTTCCCGTTGTTCCACTCATCTTACTTATTTGTAACATTAGTTCACTCATTACGCGCACATATATTTTCATGATAAAAAATTATTTATGAAATACACTGGCTACTTTCTATTCTCGTTGCGCGGACGCAGTCGCGGGTAAGAGCTAGTGAATAATAATGTGATGAAAACGTGATACTATTGTTTACATCTAGGTCACAAATGCAAACAATATTTTATCTAACGTTTCCCAAACTCTTGGTATCAAGGATCATTTGATATGATTACTCTACACGTGATAGCATCTGTGATAAAATACTTCAAATCTTTCTTATCATTGCTTATTCTTACTCGAGCGAGCGAAAGTATCAAACGTACGTGTGTATTTTAAAACTATTTATTAAAAATTTTATTTATATAAACATAATATAAATTCTATCGTAATAATAATAATTATAAAATTAATCTCTTTTATCTAGTAACTAATAATATAACTATCAAAAAAGAACAGCATTTTCGCGAGTTAAAATTTAAAAGAAAAACATAAACTATCTTGTTAACTGATAGAGAACACCATTAAATTAAGTTCGCCGAATATACAAACAATTACACTGTGCATTAAAATTTAAATAAATAAATTAACTTATCAAAAATAAATTATTTGTATATAAATTATAACAAATTAAGAACGATAATATTGTAATTTTCAGTGCAATGTGATAATTTACTAATGGCATTGTAATAATATTTAAAGCTATTTAAATATTTATGGAAGAAGTAAACGAAGAGGTGAGTGCACTGTGTCAACTAGACAATTGTAAACGATAAATTAATCGGAATTAATGTAGCGGTCTCTTGTTTATTTGGCGTAAGTCCAAATTGTGAGATTACTGTCCCACTTGTTTATTGGAATCGTACAGTTTTTGTAATACGAGTACAACTATTGGTGCAAACTTGGTTTTTATAAGACACGCGTGTGACTATGCTATCTCGAAACAGAAGTGACAAGATGGTATTTTTTTTTTATATTTTTTTTTTACTTAACCGGGATTAGACAAAGAGCGGTGTGGATACCTAATAAAAATATATTGGTGCCATAAACACAACGGGATATTATATTGTGCTGCCCATAACACTTATATGTTGCTATTCCGAAGGACAGAGGAGTTGGGTGTCTTGTGTACTATCAGAGATTATACATATTGTTATACTTGCATTACTTACAAGGTTTTTATCATGTAATTTGTTATGATTTATAACAAATATAGGTACTTAAAGTTGTCTTTCTATATTTGTCACAATGTAATATAATAAACAATCTATTTAATAATTTTAAAATAAATAAAGATGTCATAATAGTCCATAATAATATTTAACCAAATAATATAAAAAACTTTTTTGGCCATTTATTTTCAACCGACTTCAAAAAGAAAGTAGTTTTCCATTCGATTGTATTTTTTCTATGTTTGTTACCTCATAACTCCACCAGTTCTAAATCGATTTGGATTTTTTTTTTATGTCAAAGGATATACTTACAGATTGTTCCCATAGAAATTTTATCAAAATTGGTACAGTAGTATTATATAGTAGTACAGTAGTAGTAGTAGATTTTAAATCGAAATAACTGGTTTTGTCACAATTGTAGTCGACTGTTTTTTTTTTTTTGAGGGACAATCTTTCAATATGTTCTTATTACGATAGAAACAAATACCAAAAGCTGTTTATTTCTTATAACAGGTATAAAAAACAATTTACTTATACAAGTTTAAATTTGTATGGATTTAATAATTAACAACTTTTATATATAGTTCTAGATATGTTACGGTTATAATATGAAAAGTTAAACCTTTTTTTTATGCAACTTAGAATGGCAAACAAGCTGACGACCCACCTGATGGAAAGTGGTAACCGCCTATAGACATGAGCAGTACCATGCACATAACAGAGTATACTGTTTCGCCCATGATACCCCCCATGCTTTGCCATTCCTGAGGACTCAGGTGTTATTCCTCTGTACCCAGTAAATTCACGCCATGTCCCACTCTTCAAACCAAAACACAGCCTTGCAAACACAACTGCTTCACGGTAGAAATGCGAATGGGACAGAAGTGCCTAAGCAAACGACTTGTACAAAGTCTCCCTTTGGTATATATACTGTATAATATACTCAATATTAAGCATAGGTAATATCCAGTATCGCTCCAATATGTATATATATTATTATGTTTCTCTGGATATTGGTATTGTCAATTTCGATATCGCATATTTAAATTAATTTTGATTGTAATATCAGTATTGCTCCAATATATATATTATTGTAATTAAAATATATAGATACGGTTTCTATTAGGGTAGGCAGAAACAATGGATATTCAAACAGACTTCTTTCGCTTCTTCCACATTCATCAATCTTTTCATACACGCTCGCCGGTTACGGGTACTTTTAATTCGGCCCTTCTTCAGCACGTCGCCTATTTGTTCAACATGCATCCATCTAGGGTGACCCCTACCGACATCTCCATTCATTCTTGCTCGATAAATCTCTTTCGTAATTCTTCTATCATCCATCCTCTTCAAATGGCCAAACCAGCGCAACATTCCCTTTTCTATTTTTGTCACTACATCGTCTTGCAGTCCACACTTCTTTCTAATCGCACTATTTCTTACTCTATATTAGTATATACTATGTATGGTTATTTATATATGTATTGTATGTGATTTATGTGTGTATGTTTTTTGTAAGTATATTATTCTATATGTTTGTATGTTTATTTATCATAAATTGTTTTCTCTTAAAATATTTATTCAATTTACTATTTTTTTAAATCTGTGCATCGCCATTTTCTCTCTCTATTTGGCGTGGCGGTTGACTGGTAGAGAATGCACAATTTTTCAATGTGTGCAAAAGTATAAATAAATAAATAAATAAATAGAAATATATTATATATATAGATGTTACTATACATATTATTACCCATCCCTACTCACTATCCCAATAAATAATATGCAATCAAAAACTTCACTTAGGTATGTAATTAATCAACAATAAGTACCTACTGTGTATTCATTTACAATATAGATAATAAATATTTCAATTATTTTCTCGTGTCTCGATAAACATGAAATGTTTAGATACTTCTCTCGTGCAGTTGGTCATTGAACGTTGAATCATAACCGATAGTCGACCTGTGTCTATTTAAAATGTGTAATACCTAATTAAACTTTTATTTTATTGATGATTGATAATCAAAGTACTGACAACCAGTAGGAACGAAAGGTTCTTAAGTGGCGACCTCGTATGGGTAAATGCAGTGTAGATAATATTGGTAATTAGTTTATTTATGTTTAATTATCTATTTATGAATGAAATAAAATGAAGTGAGAGTTCATAAAAACGTAACTGTAGTTTCTTAACTAATATTAATATTATAGTTAATAAATGAAATTCAATGCTATAGGATTTTTTTTATGGGTGAAAATGGTATGGTAACCCCACCTGCGCTAACGGTATACGCTGGCGGAGCACCAGTGAAGGGTGATAGATGAGAATGAAAACAGACCAGTTAGCCCATCATGATGAATTCATCAGGAATTAACCATGATAATTTCCAGGGAGAACCGCGAGGAGGTCGACCTGGTTGGGTATATTGCTAGCAATGGGATTCTCAGTCTCCATTACTAACAATCCCTTTCCCCCTCCATAATGCAATAGGATTTTACCAGGACATACTTAATAGTTATATATTTGCTTTAGATATTGCATTTGGATTGAATGGAGATATAATCTGGGTAAATAGGTCAAAGTAATAGTAGCCGAAAACTATTAAATCAATTAATGCAGAAATTATATACGAATGCAATATTCTGCATATTATAGCAGAATGCGGGTGTACAGGTTTTAATTCTCTATTGGAAGACTTTTTAAATATTACACAGGAATATTTATTTATTTATTTTATTTATTTAACACTTTATTGCACCAGCATTACAGGATTTGTTGAACAATTTTCAATACGTATAGTGTAGTACAAAAGGCGGTCTTATTGCTAAGCAATCTCTTCCAGACCTTCTAAGCAATCTTTCCAATATTGTAAATCTATTGATTTTTTTTTCTAATTGGCGTTTATTATTATAATAATGTTCTGAAAAAGTTAATAGAAATAGCTACAGTCGAATATTTTTTTATATATGTTTCTCTTGGCAAGAAATACACAAAATTGACACTCCAACTCTTGTAATAACTAGTCGCATATCTAATCCGTAATGAAGAAATGTCATTATCAGCAAATCCAAATACATAGATCAAAGTTTAAATTAGATACCAACAATGTAAACTTTGCAAACGTTCACTCGACTCGCCTCGTGTTATCTCAAAAAAGTCAATGTCCATTATTCTGTTCACGTTTATAGGTAGTTGTTAATTTAATACAGCCATCAGAAATCAAAATAAATGGTTTCTAAACTTTTTTACTTATTTTTTTAACTTGATTAGTATGTTTTTTTTCTTTTAAAAACATTAAAAATATTAAAATTAAGAGTTTAATAAAATTGTAACTAAACGATGTTTATATATGAGGGATATTTGAAATAGGAAATTAATAGGAGAAGTCTTAATAGGAGCAGTAAAGCTAATAATTATAAAAAAAATAGAAATTTATTTCGGCATCACGTTAAAACTACTGCACCAAATTGGATGCGGTGTTCACAGTCGTGTCCTTATTGTTATATTGTATTGATATGTCGTAATACGCATATAATAATAATCTAAAATTTATTATATTTTATTGGTTTTTCTACTTCTGAAACCCATACATACAAAATGGAGGGCTAAAATTTTTAGTAATAATAGCCAAAAACAATTTTCTGACTATAATATAAAATTTAACATAGCAGAAACAATTTTTCCACTACAATATTTACTTATTTTGTTTACCTAATGGTTGACTGGTAGAGGACACTGTACGGTGTTAAGACCGCCATATGTATATAGTTTCACTGTGCATTAAAATTTAAATAAATAAATAAATAATAAACTTAACATAGCAGAAATAATTTTAACACTACAAATTAAACTTAAAACAGCAGAAACTCAATTGAAACAGAGGTACCATCTTCATAACTTTTATCCAGTCATTTATTTGTTACATTTTTGCCTTCAGGTGCAAGATGCATATGAGGAGGTGGAGGAACAGCGCGCTGTGGCCGCGCAATGGAAACGCAAGCTCCAGAAGATGACCAACGACATGGCCGACCTGCGGTCCCTACTTGACGAACAGGTGATTCTATGATGACAATTTGTATATAATTAATCAATCGTATCGATTTATTATTTAATCTATATTACAAATTAACCGTGTAAAGGTTTTTTTAGTGTAACTACATGCTGTGATTCCAAATTGCAATTAATATTAAAAAAAATCTCATAACGTCGTTAATAACTATTCTTCCAATTTTTTTTTCTTTTATGATATATAGTATAGCAAACAAAGCTGACAGCCCACCGGCCTCATGAACTTCACAGTATATACTGTGATACCCATACTACCCCTTATGTATTGCTTGTAAACTATAATGTTTATACCTAGTACACTGTAATTTTACTCCCATATCCCTTCAAACCGAAACAGCCATGCACAACTACTTCACAGCAGAAACAGAGGAGCAAATGGTATACCCAGGAAGAGGGAGCAAACCCTTGCTCCCTGTTCTTGGGTATTATGTGCCCATGTATTCTAGATATATTTGTAACTAGCAAATTCTAAAAATCAGTATATTGGGTTCTACTGCGTTCATAAAGCCTCTCTATAATAGTTTTTATTATATATCTTTCATGGGCAGACAACGACCAGTTACGATTTTATTATATGTATTGATTCAATCTTTGTTTTTATACCATATTTTAAATGTAAGAGAATTGAATAGGTAGCCTTTAAATATACAAAGATAAAATAAATTCGATTTTTTTTTTTAATTTTCTCTTCCACAGACATGTCGCAACAACCTCCTGGAGAAGCGTCAGCGCAAGTTCGACGCTGAACTGCACGGCGCACAGGAAGAACTGAAACGCGAGCGAGCAGCCAAGGAGAGGCTGTCACGCGAGCGCGACCAGGCGCACGCCGATAAATACGTACTCGAGCAGAGCCTCTCTGTTAGTATACTTTTATTTTATACTAAAAATAACAATAAAACTAAAAAAATATTACAAAAATCCATAACTGCTAGCGCCACATTCAGCGTATCTTTAGTCGCTTAAATATCTACTAACGCGAGCAGTCAACATGGACCGTCCACCGAGTGTGACGCGTCATGTAAGAATACGTACAGTGCGTTGTTACCTTAGATTATATAGATTATGTCTCCATACAAATCTTCACCAAATATAAATATGGGAGAAATTGTATAGTGAGATTAAATTGAAAAATAAAAACCGTTCAAAATGTTTACAATTATATAAATAATTTTCATTGAAATATGTTATCGTTTTTAAATCATTGAAAATGGCAATATTTTAATTAATACATATTGTATATTCATTTGTAACAAATACGTGCGTATGTACCTATATTTATATTATCTATCCTATTTAAGAGCTGCGCTCTTGTCGGTGGAGCTATTATGTTGTTATTTATATTAGAACAAATAAAATTTAAACTTAAAAAATCGACCTGGTCTGGGTAATTTTTATTCCAATTACTTGCAACACTCAAAAAATACGTTTTGTTTGATTTAAAAAAATCTATATATAGTCTATCGAATGTTAAATTAGCTGAATACTGACCGTTTTAGACTTCAATGCTTTATCTATATAATCTAAAGTCGTTATCTATCCTTCGTCTATTGAAGATCAGCGCTCCGTCAATCAGACATATGCCGGGCACTTGCGAACCGCGAAATTATATCAGCATAATGCAGCGACCTTCCGTGCAGTGTGACTGAGAGTAGCAAATCGTATATAGTTTGATGTATTAACGTTCCATCGCCGAAGATCGGCCTAATATGGCAATAGGATATATGAACATTCAAGACGTGTCAATTGTAAACCGCTCGCTACGCGTCTAACACCTGTCATATGAACATGCCCTTAGCCTTCCTCCACGATTCCATTCTTCTGTATTAATCCATTTTTTTTTATAACAGGAAGCTCGGCTAGAACTAGAGCTGAAGGAGGAGCGGCTGGCGGCGGCGACACGCGAGCTGGAAGAGCGCGGCGGCGGCGGCGTGGCCGGCGACGAGGCCGCCGCGCTGCGCCGCGCACGCGCAGACCTCGAGCGCCGCGTGCGCGACCAGGAGGAGGAGCTCGACGACCTCGCCGCCAGATACAGCGCGATTACGGGATGACTTTTAATGAGGGTAATGAAATCCCGCCTGTACTATCGATACGCTGGCGAGATACCAGTGAAGAATGATAGGCGAGAATGAAAAGACAAGTCAGTCAGCCCATCGTGATGAATACACCTGGAATTCAGCACAATGGTTGTTACGGGATAGGGTATTACGGGATGACTTTTAATGACCCAGAGCCGGGGAAATCTAACCTCACCGTACAATCACTATCACCTGTAAATTTTCGACGAGATGTTTCAAACATCTACAGTTTCCCTACAAATAATAACGGCTCCTATTTTCATTTTTATATATAATATATCCTACTCTATACAGTGTTATATTGAGACAATACCCTCGGCCCTATTTTTAGTACCCTATTTGTCAAAGGAAACGCACATATACGACCCTCGGCAATTTAAAATTGTAGTAACATTAGAAAGAATCAAAGTATGTAAATAATCAAACTATGACTAAAATTTTAATGTTGACATTATTATCGACAGTTGCTGGAGAGCTCGAAATTACGTCTCGAAATGTTACTGGAACAACAACGCAAGGAAGCGCGGCTGGAGGCGGCCGCGCGCGATGACGAGATGGAGGAGACCAGAGCCAATGCCACCAAGAAACTTAAAAGTTAGTCTTTAAACTGCCAGCACATTCATCTTATTAAGCGAACTTTTTAAATTTCGAATATAATTGCGTCAAATAATATATGATAAGAACTGACAGTCGCGTTTACATAATACTTATTTTGTGGCGGTAAAATCCTGACGAAAGTCGCAGTCAGCCTCGGCTATAAGCTAATTACATACTGTAATTTTTAACACCAGTTGCAGTTGCAAGTATACCGGAGATTATCGGCACTAAGATATAGATGCATACTGTATTCTGTACCTACCAGTTCTGGCGACAAAATTTTGGCACTGTAATATCGTAACACTAATCATTCAAGAATTTGTTTCACAAAAAAGAGTATCTGCAAATGTGACAAAATTAGTATGAGACCAACTCACAAGTAAATATTATCTATTGCAAACAAAGTCATATGAATCGGCGCAGTGGTGAAAAAAGCTTTCGAATTTAATAACTCTAACTCCTTTTCGAGTAAAAAGCAAGCTATTAAAGATTGTACTTGTGTGCGCAGTGCTGGAGAGCCAGCTGGAGAGCGAGCACGCGGAGCGGTCGCTGCTGCTGCGCGAGCGGCACGAGCTGGAGCGGCGCCTGGCCGCGCTCGAAGAGGCGGCGCGCGCCGACGCGCACGACCAGGCGCAGCTCGTGCAGCGGCTCAAGAGGTCGGCCGCCGTACTGTCTTACACTGCACCTGTCTTACATTACGCCTTACATTGCACTACGCACTAAAAACGATAGGCGATTGCTGCTTTTCTACAAATGATACAAGCTGGAGCGGCACCTGGCCGCCCCCTAACTGATAGCACGCACTATTACGACATCAATTTCCTCATATTTTATTGCAATTTCTATGGACTAAATTATACGTTCTGAAACTAATTCAGTTTATTGTTTCAAAACAAAACTAAAATCAATTATTTATTTTTATTACAGAGACTTAAAGAGATACCGAGCATTACTCCGCGACGCTCAGACAATGCTTGAACAAAAGGAAAAGGAAGGTGGCGGAAAGGCGCAGATCAGACAACTGAAAAATCAAGTACGTAATTGAGTATTAATTCCTGGCAATCCGGCTCGATGGATCAAATTATTTATATAATAACGATGAATAACTTAATATGTTTGTAACAATGTATAATCTATTTATGCTTTGTGATTGAAAATGATACTCAGGTGGAGGACCTAGAGCTGGCAGTCCGCGCGGCGACCAAAGCGAAGCAGACAGCCGAAGCAGAAGCAGCGGAAACAAGTGCAGCGCTCGAGGAAGCCACACGGGCCCGCGCGGAAGCAGCCGACCGCGCGCTCGCCGCCGCCCGCGACGCGGCCGCGGCGCGCGCACAACTCGACGACACCGAGGAAGAGGCTGCAGAGGTATGAAACACTGAGATAAATATTATTTTCTTTATATAGAAAAATCCGTGTCACAATGTTCGTTTATTCGAAACTCTGAAATCGTATAACCGATTTTAATAAAATTTGGTAATTGTGACCTAAATTGTGTTCGAAACAATTCGCCCAATAGGTGATACAACAAACAAAGTCTTGTTTTCACCCAGTAGGTTAAAACGACACTTTCGGGTCAGCTTGTATTGTATAAATAATATTTAGTAAAACAGTAACAAGTCTGGAATTTGACATCCGGGGAAGTATACCCCATAGGGGGAACCTAAAAATAAAATAAAAAAATTATAACTAAATAAAAATTTGTTTCTCCAATATGAAATGTTGGAGTGATGATCGCATTAGAAGTGTATCCGCTGCGAGTGCGTGTCGGTATCAGTTTGCGTGCGCGGGCGTGTTGCAGCTGCTGAAGAAGTACCGGTCGAGCACGAGCGCGCTGTGCGCGGCGCAGGCGCAGGCCCGCGAGGCGGCGGCGCGCGCGGACGCGGCGGCCGACGAGGCGCGCCAGGCTCGCGAGCGGCTCGCCGAGCTGGCCGCGCGGCTCGCGCGCGCGGAGGCCGGCCACGAGCACGGCCACCACGAGGCCGAGCGCCGCCTCGAGTGCAGGAACAAGGTGCGCCGCGCCGCCACTGTTACGGCGGCTCACGACCTGCTACCACTCCTTACGAGTCTTATTGATTTCGCCCTACCCTTCCACTTCACTTCCAGAAGAAGACTTTGTACAGAAGTCGATTGCTTGTGTACCTCTGTCCCATTCGTGTTTAACCGTGAAGCAGCTGTGTTTGCATGGCTGTGTTTCGGTTTGAAGAATGGGATATGGCGTGAATTTACTGGGTACAGAGGAATAACACCTGTGTCCTCAGGAATGGCAACGTATTGGGGGTATCATGGGTGAAACAGTATACTCTGTTATGTCCATGGTACTGCTCGTGTCTATAGGCGACGGTTACCACTTTCCATCAGGTGGACCGTCAGCTTGTTTGACATACTAAGTTGTATAAATAAAAAAAAATACTGGTATTTTTGCAGAAAAGCTTTTCAGCCCATAGTTATAACTCTTATGTGATGATACACGTAGGAACTGTTCCATTGTGTTGATGGATTGTTGTCAGTTGCTCTTGCTCGGTCTTCGTACTGTTCTTCATGTGCCGATCTTCCAGCAACAAAAGGTCAACAACGCCGCCTTGGTCATTTTCTTATATTATTGGTTACACTCACTAAACTACAATATTTGCATTGATTAATTGACTATTCGCAATAGTATGTATTTTTCTTCTAAGTACACTTAGAAGATATTTCAAATATCAAAACTAACGCTGGTGACGTTTACTTCTTCTAAGTATGTCAAAACTAGCGCTGGTAATTTACCAGTGACTAATGATAGATAAGAACAAAGTCGGGCCATCGTGGAGAATTCCCAATGAATGAACCACGATGGGTCCCGCGAGGCCCACGTGGTGTAGTGTGGGTGCGCATGCGCAGGAGCTGGAGTCGAGCCTGGAGCTGGAGGCGACGGCGCGCGCGCGCGTGGAGGGGCAGCTGGCGCGCCTGCGCGACGCGCACGACCAGCTGGCCGCCGAGCTGGCCGCCGCGCGCGCGCGCGACGCCGCCGCCGCCGACGACCTGCGCAAGCTCGCCAGGCAATTCCGGTCAGTGGCCGCCTCTGTCGCTGTTTATATATTCACATCCAAATAACAAATAAGCCGACCCACATACTAGAAAATGGGAACCAACACTATACACTAGAATATATAATAGCTCTGTGGACTCTGTATGTTGGATACCACCTTAAGAGGTAAAGTTGCCAACTTAAAAATATTCTGTTTTTTTTACAAATAGTTATCTCGTAAAGTAAGAAGTAGTAAGAGGTGACTAGGGAAGCTTATAGTTGAAAGATAGGCAGCAGCGTCCCCCCTTAAAACATCAACAAAAGCCAAACTGCGATTGCTAGCCGCCTGCCAAGAGTGGCAACTACCGGCAAACTTGTGGGGGAAGCTATGCTCAGCAGTGGACAGCTGATACAATCGCAATCGTAGTTTATTGAATTAGGTCAGTCCAAAGAGCATTCAATACTATCATTTAAATTTTATTACAGTGAACTGAAAGAAGAAAACTCAAATCTGAACGTGAAACTGAGCGAAACGGCCCGCGCGAAGACCGCAGCGGAAGCGGCGGCGGCTGCGGCCGCGGCTGAAGCGACCGCGGCGCGGGACGAGGCTCGCCTGGCGGCGCGGCGAGCCACCGCTTTACAAGAAGCTATCGCCGGCGACCTCTCCAGCCCCGGGGACTCCAGGGATACTGATAGGTATGTACGCATTCAATTAGCTTTTTAGTGATTGTAATTAGCCTTTAATATTTTTAAGGTATCATATCAAAAAGGTACAAAGATTGTGTTATTGCCATTTTTATTTTTACTTCAATTCAATGCTATATATGACTTATAATTAAAATTGTGTTTCAAAAACAAAAAACCAAGTCACGGCAAAACCTGTTATTTTTATTTAAAAACTAAACTACTAAACCCATTTTAATAAAATTTCTATAAGATCTATGAGATGAAAATTAAAGAAAATATATGAATATTAAAGTTTTTATCATCTATAATTGATAATATGTTGCACAAAGCTATAAGAACAAAAGTTAGTTTTTAAATAAGATGCTTGTAAACTAGGTAGGTTAAAAAAATATCAAGAGAAACATTTAAATAAATTACTTGAACTCTTTGAATATTACAGCAGAGTTTTCTATTATAAATTTTTATTGTAAACTACATTAAAAACCTACTTTTTTTATACATAACTTACACAATTCACTATTACCAATTTCTGACATATGAAAATCTATTACAGCGATAATGACAGCTACAGTTCCGATGAGTCAATCGGAACCTTCTTGGCAAATCACAAACTGAGCCCCTCGGCGCCCTCACGAAACAGTATACAACTCGATTTACAAAAGTAAGTACTTATACATTATTTATAATTATTTGGTTACTTTGGAATTATTAGTTTGCATATTTTAATATCGACTCCACATGCGGATTGAATATCTTCCTTTCTTTTTATTATTAGTACTGGAGTGAGGGTAGCATCCTATAATATCAACAGTTTCTAAGCCACATTTGTGATTTTAAAAAGCCTCTGACATTTCCTATAGGTTTACGTTTTTATGCCGAAGTTTTTATGTCGAAGGATAAAATGACAGTCATTTAAATTATTTAAATATTAATTTAGAAAATGCAAATATTTTAGGCTGGGACTCGGACGTTGTTCGACTGATTTATCTTTTATTGCATATTGCTAAATGAAATACATTTATATCTTTATTATAGATCCCAGACGCCAGAAGGCAGACAGAGCCGTACAAGCAACAGTTCCAACTCCGGCACTAAACAACTGAGTCCCACCAAGGAGTCGTTCGCATAACAGCCAGCCGCCGCTGCCGGGCTCCTCACGAGCGCACTGCCTGTCCTCTGCGCTGTGTTCTGCTCGCGGCAGCGTCACGACTCCGCGCACGTAGTCCTCGAGTGAGCTCCGAAAAAAAATAAACGTCAGACTGACGGTGTCCATGTGACATCTGTCAGTCGGTGGCGCGAAATTTAAATTTCGAATTTTATGACGTCAAACCATCGAAGTGATTACGATTGGAATGCTTGATAGGATAGAAATGGTAAATGAAGTAATTTATCACCGAACAGCAAAGACTTCTTTAGAACAATATAGAATAAAAAATGACTCCTAAAATTAGACTGCTCAATAATCTTATCTACATGCATTATTTATAATAGATGCTACGGATTTTAATATTTTCAAATATTTGATATTATAAGCTTTTACAATCACAAAATGTACGTGTTGTCGAGTGTTAGTTAAGAACAGATATTCATTAGTAGCCGATTATGTACTCATACGAACATTATTATAATGTAATAAAGATAGAATGCATTCCAAAGTATACACGAATAACATTCGGCTCGCGTGTTACCAGGCGCGCCATTTATATACAAATCATTTGGAGGGTATTTTCGCTAGAAAGCGTGTCCTAATTTTCGTCACGTTCACTAGCACCATTTATTGTAGGCTTTGACATTAATTTATTTAGAGTGTAGAAACGGTAGAAAGTTTTTGACGAGTTAGTTTTGTTGTACTGCGTACAGCGTGCCAGTCAGTATTTCGACGGCCGAGGCGGACATGACTTACAAAATAATATTAGGTTCTTTGTTATTTAGTTAGCTAACTTTTGTACATAACTAGATGGCATATACAGTTTATTATTTAATTTGTAATATTTGTGTGATCAGACTGTTATACTATGATTTATTTGTTACAAGTGAATTGTTGCTTTATAGTAGATCATCATACATATCTGTTAGGTAATATTTTTTTATTAATTAATAATATACCTTCGACTTTTGTTTAACTGTAACTTTACTGAACATCATTATTGGAATTGTAATCTTTATAAAATATATTCCTTGTAATTGTAACTCCATTACTTAAAAATCATCATTCAATCTATACTATATACATATATATGTGTCTGTAACCACAAGTATAAAATTTTACTATGTGTAATGTATGATAATGTGATGAAATGTTACTGCATACCTACTGGTTGTAAAATGAAATTATTTAATAAAGTAACAGAAATGTATTGTTTTGTTTTATTCTTTTACAGGCTTTCTTTACTCTTTATTTTAGTAGTTACCTAAATATGAAGTTATATTAACTAAACAGAGGAAATTTAATAAACTCACTATATTATGTTTATTATTTCGACTTCATCCAGAAATTTAGATATAATTATGACAAAATCAAGACAGTTAAATAGTCAATATAGAAGTGTAATACAGTAAACTTTAAGACAAGAATAAATATATTAAAATTTTCTATAGAAACAATTTAATATAAATAAATTAAATCATCATCAAATGATTCATTAACTGTCCACTGCTAAATATAGGTCTCTTCTTGGAGGATTTTGCCAGTAATTGCCATGTTTTGCAGGCGAGTTGGCAACCGCAGTTTGCTTTGGTCATGTTTCAAGAAGAACGCTACTGCCCATCCCTCAAGTATTAAATTCCTCTTACAACACCCACAGAAAATGGCGCATTCTTTGCAGAGACCAGATGGCGACACATTCAATATATGAAACTAATGTTATATGCACACGACTATAATCCCTAGTCGGGTAGTTAGAAGTGTTTATAGACTTACCGCTGTGATGAACGCAACACCCGTCCACCTTTCGCCCAATGTATAAAAATCCTACTTGGTAAAGAGCAAGCCTACCGCCGTTACTTAGATTAATTAAGTTTCTTATTGGTGTTTCCAATTCCTTATATGAGTCTTATTCGAAAATTTTAATTTTAATATTTTTTTACATTTTTTAATTATTTTTTTACATGTATACGACCTCTCCAATGCAAAGATTATATAAACAGGGAGTACTCCAATGGGTCGGTATATATTCACCCCAATAAAACTTAAAAATATTAGAATGGCAACACTGGACATAATATTCTTATATTACCCATAAATTTTACCGTATCACCACTAAAAAATGAAAAAAAATCTTAAAAAAAAATAAATTTACCTAATGTTATTTTAATTTCTGCATATAATAAAAGTCAAAATTTAAAAATGAAGCAAAATTTTAGAAAAAAGGAAATGAGTAATTGAAGAATTTTTGAAGAGAAATGCATGTCATGTCTGTGTAGTATAGTTGCTAAAACATAGTAAAAATTAATAAATGTGTATATTTGGGTAAGAGTGCAGGAAATATATCAATTAAAAAAATATTAGATATTTTAGATATAGAAATGTTAGATATAGAAAAAATAATAAAATTGCATTTGATAACGCTGAAATAAGGGAATTACATTTTAAAATGTTGGCAACCCAGTACTACGCCTACAAATCTTGTCAAAAAGTGTCTCGTCTTCAAGTTTTCTGTTTATTTTAAGAAATTTAAGAATTTAGGACATTAAGATTACATTCCAAGTTTGTAATATTTATTTATTTATAATAGTGCTTCATTTGCATAATTATGCATTACGTTTAATATTTCGGTTCCTTAACGGTACAGTAAAATACACTTTTACAAACTGTCAAACTTTATCGATTTTCAGAGAGGGCGTAAAAATTAAAATATTGTTCGATATCTAAAAGGGTTTATCAAAAAGTAGAAATACCAGCAAAATGACGGACTCTAAATATTTCACTACTACGAAGAAAGGAGAAATTTTCGAACTAAAATCAGAATTGAACAGTGACAAGAAAGAGAAGAAGAAAGAGGCAGTAAAAAAGGTAGATAAAGATATATAATAAATTGGAATTCTTTTTTCCATTAATATATATTCTTACTTAAATTGTATAAGCATATCTTCTTAAATTTTACGTTACTATGTTTTTATGCAAATTGGAATGGCAAACAATCTAAAAACTCATCTGATGGAATTAATTATTCTTAACTACCGTAATTGTACTATATTTTGAGTATTTACATACAATTAATTTTTTTTTACCAAATTGTGCACAGACTCAATTATTTTTAAGCTTAAACATTTATCAATCAGTATATATGTATATATATATATATATATATATATATATATATATATATATATATATATATATATATATATATATATATATATATATATATATATATATAGTTTAAAATTTATTTTATATATATATATATAGATAATTTATACTTATAGATGGATCATATTTAGAGTTTTATAATTTAAAAAAATATAGTATTTTGTGTCTATATTACATATTTTTTTTATAGGTCATTGCTTCAATGACAGTGGGCAAAGATGTCTCTGCATTATTCCCAGATGTTGTAAACTGCATGCAAACAGATAATTTAGAGCTGAAGAAATTGGTATACTTGTATCTTATGAATTATGCCAAATCGCAGCCTGATATGGCAATTATGGCAGTCAACACATTTGTAAAGGTATGCATCTGTCACCTAATGATTGTATATGATTTTGTAAGGCTATTCAGTACAAGTAATGTTAATTATTAATCTATTACATAAGTAATGTTAATTCAGCAGCTAACTTAATTCTAGATTAAGAATTAACATAGATTTTGTAATGATGTCATCTTGTGTGCGTTAATTTTAATACCAAACCTTACAGAATATTGATTTTTTTTCCTTTTAAAAATGAATTTAAATTATTATTAATAGTAAGCAAGAAATTTATATCTACTAGTAAAAAGAAAAAACACATTTTGTTAGACTGTTTTGCCAGGAATGTATTAAAAGAAAATTATTTTTATCATTGAAATAAATATCAGTAACATCTGTTTATTTAGTATTACTTTTTTCTAGAAATTCATTTATTAGAAATTAGTCATTATTTTTATATCTTAAATTATGAGATATTTGATTGTCAAATGTATAACAATGATAAATATACAATAAAAACATTATATAATATGTAAAAAGGAATGCACAATTTTTTAACATACTGAAAAGCCTTACATTAGATTTTATTGTTTTTTCTTTGTGACTTTGCAGTTTAATGCATGTTGAAAGAAAATTAACTAAAACAATTTTGGGTAGGATTTCTGTGGTAAAATAGAAAATATTGGTTCAAGTGAGCATGGGGATTATAAAAATATTACAATTATGGCTTATAAATTTGAGAATAATATTTTTTTTTTTCAAATCAATAACTACGAGTAGTGTAGTTATTTGTGTGTGTGACTTGTCTTTTTTATCGTTTTAATGTCTACTGTACCATATTATGATGGGTGGAAGGATCTACCAACATACCAGCTTGTTAAGGTAAACAAACGATCCAGAAAACCTCAGCTCATTCATCTGTAGATTTACACATTTGAGTACATTTATCCCCATTTATGACAGTGATCCCATACTATTAATTTACATCCCAATTACTTTAAATATTTATCCTGCATGAACATTATTGTTTATTACTTTATCAAATATACATGATGATATGAGCCCATTAATACATAGAAGAAACAAAAATATTAAATAGTAAAACAAAATATTGTAAAATATTGTACTGGTAATTGAAAATAATTTTTAGGGTTGACAACCCTGATGATATTTGAGAATTTTAAAATGTACTGGGTTGAAAAATTTTTTTCTCCTGACAAATTGAATTTGAACCTACATCACTTAGCTATCACTTGAGTATATTTTTTTAATTAATGATAATGGAATGGTTATTCCACCTGCATTATCAGTATACATTGGCATGGTACCAGTGAGGGATGATAGGTGAGGATAAAGTAGTTCAATTAGCCTATCATGATGAATTCAACAATGAATCTATTATAATGATTTCTGAGGGCCATAAATAAATGAATCTCTACTCTCCCAATTGACTGTATTTTTTTATGGATGATAATGGAATGGTAACCCGGCCTGTGCTATCGGTATACACTGGTGGGGCACCAGTGAAAGATGACAGGTCAGAATGAAAGCAGGTCAGTTAGCCCATCCTGATGAATTCAACTGGAATAAACCATGATGGTTTCCATGAGGAACTATATGGAGGTCAACCTGATAGGGTATATTGCTAGTAATGAGGCTATTTGACTCCATTACTAACTATCCCTTTCCCTTCAATTGACTGTATTACCAGTTACATAATGTATGAAATACTATCAAATGACAAATTTCTCAACCAATTGAGCCATCTACCATTTTATAATGCTTGGCTTGTTATTATATTTCAAATAGAATTACATATTATTATTGCTTTTCTTATCGTTTACTTTTATTTTATTGTTATTATTAAGTGTAGAGTTAAGCACTAAACAAATATTTCTTTCTTTTTTCAATAATATTTTTCAACCTAAGTACATTTTATTGATATTAATAAAAGCTTCATAATTTGATAAATCAATCTAGACACTATCATGTATATTTTATAATGTAATTGGCCCTTAGAATATTGCATGAGAATTACAAAATAAATCCTATTGTCACACTAGCACAGTCATAGATGTGTAAATCTACATACCAATAAAAATGCTACATAAAATTTTATTTGAATATGAAATATCTATGAAATCCATGCCTCATTCAGTATAATAGAAGCACATTGCTACTCTTATAATTAGTATCATACTGTAGAACCTCTCTAATCTGACTGCCTCTCCTCACACTACATTCTAAACCGTATTTTAATCATATTAGAGTTTATACATAGATATCCATATTTCATAATAATTTTTATTCTATGCTTTGTGCATTTAAACCTGGAATATGTTAAGATATTTCTTATTTAAAAGTATTTAATCCCTAAGTTCGAAAAACGTAAGAGTTTTTAGAATAATGTAACAACATGTGTATGTAAAATAACATTACAAAATTATTATATTTTATTATAATTTATATTATTAAATATTAATATTTAAGGCACACAACATTTTAAACTAGAAACAGACTAGTGGGTTTCTACAATTGCTATTATTATAGCTTAGCCAGGAGTAAAGAACTTGCTATAGTTATGCTGAAAAAATTTAATTTATATCTTAATTTTACTATCTAATAAATAGTATTATGAACACTACATATTGCCTGTCTGCTTTTTAAAAGATTTATGATTACATAGGAGATTTCTAATAGCACTCTGATATTTATGATTAATCTACTGATATCCCATTTATTAAAATAAACAAGATCTAGTCTAGATTTTAATAATTGACACATTCATATTGTGATGGTAAAAAATGTTTGTCACTTCATGCTTTGAAAGGCTTGTATAGCAGTCGGCAGTATGTAGTGTCAATATTTATATATTTTTTTTAATTCTTGGCATTGAAAATTTTTGTTAGCACGTATTTCTTTACAAATTGGATACTTAAAAATTATAACAAGAAAAAAATATATTGGAAAATAATAAACTTCTTTATTTTTCTATAACATGCCGAGTTGTTTACATAATTTTCCAAATATAAAAAATTTTTATATAATTTTATTTATTTTTACAGCCGCAATAGTAGATTCCCTGGTTAAACTATATCTGCTTAATAGTAAATTGCTTTAATATTATTGGTGTGTTGCCTTTATCTTTTTCTTTTATACTGAATGCAAACATTCTTGAATGCCTGCAGGACTGCGAGGACTCGAACCCGCTAATAAGGGCGCTGGCGGTGCGGACGATGGGCTGCATCCGAGTGGACAAGATCACAGAATACCTCTGTGAGCCATTGAGAAAGTGCCTCAAAGATGAGGATCCATACGTGAGGAAGACAGCTGCGGTCTGTGTTGCGAAGCTATACGACATATCGTCCAGTATGGTTGAGGACCAGGTAATATATTTTTTTTTTTTTTATTTTTGAAGCATTTTTTTATTATTTTATATGTTGATGTTGCATCACCAGTTCTTTTTATATTTGATACTGCTTATTGTGTATTTGGAATATAGTATTTTTTGATAAAATTCAATGAAACTGTAAACAAACAAGTTTTGACTTGACCATAAGACAGTTTGCTTATGTCCAACAGTAGTACAAAATAAAAAATCTATTACATAATTGATTCCATTTTTCGACTTGTTACTAGTTTCATTTAGAGAGTTTATAGTGGTAATATCAACAAAACTTGGTTATATTTTTATTAAGTTTTAATAAAAAATTTTTTCTGTATAGCCATTATTTTCAATCTTTACTTGTACACACATACTTAATTCTGTATTCTAAATTCAAATATTATAAATCAAATATGTTTATGGAGCATTTTGCTCATTGATGCGTTTTGTGTAATAAAATAATAATGAATTGAAGAGGTTTGATATTGAATTAGATATATTTACTTGTTTTAATATTTTATTGATCTTATTTTATCACTTTAGCAAATGGAGGTAATTATTTGTTTGTTAATGATTAGTTTCATAACTGTAATTTGTCTGTTTTACTTTTTTCTAAAAGCACAGTTTAAAATATACCTAGTATCATAGATTTCTTTTACTGCTGATAATTTTATTGTCCTATTTGCACTAGCGCCCTTTAGGCTATAACTGCTGTTATAATGTAATGTATGACATACATGTATCTTAATTTATTTTCTATATTTTTCATTATAATTATGAATAATTTTATTTTAGGGTTTTCTAGATCAGCTGAAGGATTTACTCAGCGATTCCAACCCAATGGTGGTAGCGAATGCAGTTGCCGCTCTATCTGAAATCAATGAAGCTAGTGTCTCTGGACAGCCCTTAGTCGGTATGTTATTTATAAAATATTTTTTAAAACATCTCTTAATTTTTTAAATATTTTTCTTATAGAGCATTCAATACGGGAGGTGGGATTCAAGAGCTTTCGTTTTGGTGTCTTTTTTTATTATAAATACTTTACTTTTTGTTTTTTGATGACGATCAAAAATGAATAGGTTCTGCCGTGAAGCAGTTTTGTTTGCATGACTGTTTCGTTTAGTAGAGTGGGATATGGCAATGAAATTACAGGGTGTAACACCTTAGTCCTCAAGAATGGCAACGCAAGATAGGTATCGTGGACGACACAGTATACTCTGTTATGTCTATTATCACTTTCCATCAAGTAGACTGTCAGCTTGTATCCCATTCTAAGTTGTATAAGAAAATTAACCTAAGCTGGGTCTATGCTTATTCTTCTTATATTATGTTTCTGTATTCATGATATTTTATATTGAATAATCGCTAAATGTATAATTCCTAAAATGGTTAGGGAGGAAAGGGATTGTTAGTAATGGAGACTAAGAATCTTATTGCTAGCAATATACCCAACCAGGTCGACCTCCTCGCGGTTCTCCCTGGAAACTATCATGGTTAATTCCTGATGAATTCATCATGATGGTCTAACTGGCCTGTTTTTATTCTCATCTATCACCTTTCACTGGTACTCCGCCAGCTTATCCCGTTAGCGCAGGCGAGGTTACCATACTATTTTCACCCATCAAAAAAAATCCCTAAAATGGTATCCCAACCATGTGTTATGTTGGGAAAAACCAGACAATATCTGAGTGTATAAAAACATAATAATAATAATAATAATAAACTCTTTATTGCGCACAGTAAAGATGTATACAAGGAGTATTTATACAGAACGTGCATATACAAAAGGCAGCCTTATCGCTACAAGCAATCTCTTACAGACAACCTGGCATAAAGAATGGATAAGTACAGAGAGAAAGGTAGATGGCGCAAATCAGACACAGTAAATGCATAAAAGGAATCAGACAAAATGCAAAAAATTCTAAATATAAAAATAAGATTACATAACCTAAATAAACATACATATATAATAAAAATAATAATACATAAACATACATATATAATATAAATAATAATACATAAACATACATATATATAATATAAATAATAATACATAAACATAAATATACTAAATAGATCAAGATAAATCACACATAGTAAACGTCAAAGCAAATTAGAGAGATAGGAAATGAGATTTTACCTGCCTCTTGAACGAGGCAAGAGATTGCGCTGATCTAATAGAAAGAGGTAAGGAGTTCCAGAGACGGATAGCTTTTATAGTGAAAGAATAGGAATAGAATTTAGAAGAATGAATAGGAGTTACTAAACGAAGGGATCTCGCGCTGCGCAATGTACGACCCTGAGAATCGACATGAAACTCAAAGCACATTTTGAGGTAATCGGGAGTTGAAGGATGAAAAAGAATAGTGTAAAGAAGAGATAGGATGTGCCAGTTCCTGCGAAGGCGAATTGGAAGCCACTTGAGTTGATTGCGGAAATCAGAAATGTGGTCATATTAAATCATAATAAAGTAATATTAAACGATCTACAGCAGAGCTCAGAACTGATTTATAAAAGTTTATTTTCTAATGTACATGGAATTACATTTATGCAATGCAGGCCTTTTAATATACATGTGAATAATAAATATATCGATTAACATGTAACTTAGTTGATTTATTACCCGCCTCCCAGTTACCACTTGTGAGCGGTAGGTACTACATAGTTTTCGCACTGTATGGTTATGTTTGTACATAGAAATGAACGCGTCAACAATCAACAAGCTGTTGACTGCTCTAAACGAGTGCACGGAGTGGGGGCAGGTGTTCATTCTGGACGCACTGTCCAACTACTGCCCGAGGGACGCGCGTGAGGCACACTCGATCTGCGAGCGTATCACGCCGCGTCTCGCGCACGCTAACGCCGCCGTCGTCCTCTCCGCCGTCAAGGTGCCCTACCACCATAGTACCCTTTTCTTACTATCCTTCAATATATACATTCTTTGATATTTAATGTTACTTTTATTATATCACTTAATATTTAAAAATCTACTGCTGATCTCTATTGTAATAAAGTCGTGAGTATATTTGTGTATTTATTTTTGTCTATACATTGTATTATGTATTATTTGTATTTGGTTTCTGTGATCTCTTAATAGAGCAGGTATAAAGGACTGAGTCTTTCTTAAGCAAAAGGTGCACAGATTTTGGAGACTAAAAAGTTACAGCACTGAAATTAAACATATTAATGTTATGTTTCGACTTATTTCTTATTAAAAATGATTATGTAGAAATTTTGCTTGAATTTCTGCATAATTACAAAATAACAAAAAACACATGTCTTAATTTCAGCGCCATCTAGAATAATTTGTCTAACTTTGTTTTTCTGCTATCTTCTTCTTAAAAAGATTACTACGGATTTAGATTTCGCCTTGAAATTGCGAATATGTATTGATTGTCCTGTTCGAATGCAGGTGCTGATGAAGCTGATGGAGATGGTGTCGGAGGACACGGAGCTGGTGAGCACGCTGTCCCGCAAGCTGGCGCCGCCGCTGGTGACGCTGCTCAGCGCCGAGCCCGAGGTGCAGTACGTCGCGCTGCGCAACATCAACCTCGTCGTGCAGAAGCGGCCCGAGATACTCAAGCACGAGATGAAAGTACGTACTTTATCGTTACTTGTATGTTTCCATTCAATGTTACACGAGATCTCTTTGTTAAGAACGTTCATACCGAAGTGTGGCGACTTCACATGGAATTATTTGATTATTTACAAAAATAATTGAAGACAATTTACAAAAACAATCCTGTTATAAATGTGAAAGTTTGTGCAAACAAACATCTGGCTGTTCATATTTTTGCTATTAAATCACACTCAAACTTTTGTTTGTTGTTGTCAGTTCAGCTGTTTCAAATCAGTTGATTTGAATATTTCCTATATAGGTAGGTTATATTCTAACTTATATCAATTAGGTAATTCATAATACTGAATCACGCGGGCAATAATAACCTTTAATTTTTCTCATTGATTATTTTAAAAAGTGCACGATCTAAATCGACCTCCATGCGGTTGCGCCTAGAAACAGTTATGGTTACTTCTAATTAATTCGTCACGATAAGACAACTGCCCTCATTCATTCTTACCCATTGTCTCTCACTAGGTGCCACGCCAGCGTATACCGATAGTTATACCATCCGGGTTTTTTTTTTTTAAGAGTGATTGATGAGAATGAAAACAGGCCAGTTAGCCCATTATGATGAACAACTCATCAGGAATTAACCATGATACTTTCCAGGGAGAACCGCGAGGAGACCGACCTGGTTTATTTATTTATTTACAAGAATTTTTTTTGGGTATATTGCTAGCAATGGGATTCTCAGTCTCCATTACTAACAATCCCTTTCCTCCCTACCATCCGGGTTAGCATTTCATTGTCATAAAAAGAACTTCATTTCCCGTCAGGTGTTCTTCGTAAAGTACAACGACCCGATCTACGTGAAGCTGGAGAAGCTGGATATTATGATCCGGCTAGCGTCGCAGGCGAACATCGCGCAGGTGCTGGGCGAGCTGAAGGAGTACGCCACCGAGGTGGACGTAGACTTCGTCAGGAAGGCCGTCCGCGCTATAGGCCGCTGCGCCATTAAGGTAACCAAGTTTATCTAACCACCATTCTTGACTACTCTGCTTTACATTTTTTATGAACGAGATATTTACCGTATTTTTTTTTTTGCAGAAAAATTCTTATCTTACTAATATAATAAAATTGTAATTAAATAATTTATTTATTTATTCTTTATTTGATCACATTATAAAACAATGTTTAGTATTAAAGGTGGACTTAATGCTTATATAGTATTCTCTCCCAGTCAAACTTTGGTAAAACAGAAACTAAAGTTTTCGGTGAAAAATTGGGAAGTGTCGTATATCAACAATTACAGACGTATCCATATTGATAGGCTTACAGATTATATAACACATACACAATATAATATATTTGTATGTAAGAGATAATTATTTTATTAAGAACAGTAGCAGGCAAAACAATGAGTTTTTAGAAATCTCAGTTCATCTCAGATAGATAATTTATTTGCATTATTTAAAGCACACAAATTATAACAGATACAGATATACATAAAAAATGAGATAAGAGAAATGATAAAAAAATACATACAGCTAAGTACAATTTTTCCTTTTGTGCGTGTGCCATAACAATTCAAACTGTCTGTATGTTTGTTCCGGCATAGATCTTGCGACTCTGGCCTTTGATCACTAAACTATTCGAGTTTACTCCAAAGGTGGAGCCGTCAGCGGAACGCTGCGTGTCAACACTGCTGGAACTCATCCAGACGAAGGTGAACTATGTGGTGCAGGAGGCTATTGTTGTGATCAAGGACATCTTCCGCAAGTACCCCAACAAGTACGAGAGCATCATCAGCACACTATGCGAGAACCTCGATACGCTCGACGAGCCCGAAGCCAGGGCGTCTATGGTGAGTTTCATTGTTACTTCATTTTATATAATGGAATAAATTATTGGTAGATTTTTTTGCTTAAAATGGCAAACAAATTGACGACCGACTAGTGGAAAGTGGTAATAGCCTAGACTAATATACTGGAATGCCCATAGTATTTATTTATTTATATATATAAACTTTAATGCACAGTAAAATTATATGTTCATTTAGCAGACTTAGTATCTCTTCAAATATAATTGTCTATGTTGAAATTTCATTTAAAGAAGGCGCTATAAGAATAACATATAGGAGAAAGAATTAAAAAAAGTTAAAAGTTATGTTTAAAAAAACTACATGAAAAAATAAAAAAAAATTCATTGTCGATTTTTTGCTTGTTCTCTTAGTCAAGATGAAGATGAATGGTGGCACATTATAATAACATACCTACTCCGTCACTATATAGCTAGCCAATAAATATGGAATTATATTTTATAGTTATTTGACTAGATCAGTGTTTTCCAATCTTTTTCATGATGCGACCCCCTTATTATGTAAAAATATCTTGCGACCCCTACCCTCCACGGTTTCCAATGTGTTTGAATTATATTATAGTACAATTATGAAATTCGTACATTTGTATTTATATTCACATTTAGTTATCGATAAAATAAAATAAATAATACATAATAAAGTATTTAAAACAGATATGTAATCGATGTCTGTTACTTACATACTTCATTATGTATTATTGATTGATTGATGTATTTACGGAACTGTTGATTTTTAGCTGCTTTGCGACCTTTCGCGACCCCCTTATAGAGGCTCGGGAACCCCCCAAGGGGTCACGACGCACACTTTGAAAAACACTGGACTAGATTGATGTGATTTGAATTGATTGCATTACAAAAAATATGGCAGTTAACTAAATCTAAAGTCGTTGTTTTCAGGTATGGATCGTGGGCGAGTACGCAGAACGTATCGACAACGCCGACGAGCTGCTGGACTCTTTCCTCGAAGGGTTCCACGATGAAAACGCCCAGGTACTAATTAACTTAATTATACCAATCAATTATCAATTTAAATTTCCGACTTATAGCTGAAAGGGACGAACAAATAACGAAATAAATAAACGAAACGTAACGAATCAAAATTGAACTGGTTTGCAGGCGGTTGTGCTTGTGACTTCATTCGTTTGTATTATTATAACATTGTAGACATTTCTTTTTAATCAACTTTAAAAAGAAGGAGTCTGTCACTCCGTCAGTTCTGAATTGATTTGGAAAAATATTTTTTGTCTGAAAGGATGCACTTGCAGTTTAGTTCCATAAAAATGTTGTCAAAATCTGTTCAGTAGTTTAGTTTTTAAATTAAAATAACTTTTATTGGTTTTGTCACAATTATACAGTTATACATTATACAGTATAGTAGTGTATAGTTTATATTTTATACAGTTTCATTACAATTTTTTATTAAATATGAGGACAGTAGATGTTAACGAATCTATACCTAACAGGTGCAACTGCAACTGCTGACCGCCGTGGTGAAGTTATTCTTGAAGCGGCCGGCCGACACGCAGGAGCTCGTCCAACACGTCCTCAGTCTTGCCACGCAGGACTCTGATAACCCTGACCTCAGGTGTGTATGTGCAATGTCATTCAAGATTAAGTATACACACATGTGAAAATGTTTTAATGACTAGAAGAAACTATGCATTGTGTACATCTGTCTCCATGAAGACAATGTTTACTCAAAATTTTTTATATTTCCGTGCAGGAGAATATATAATCATATAGACAAAAAATTTACATATATATATATATATATATATATATATATATGTATTTACCAGAGGGAGACTTTGTACAAAAGTCATTTGCTTGGGTACCACTGTTCTATTCGTGTTTCTACCATGAAGCAGTGATATGGCAGTGAATTTACAGGGTACAGAGTAATAACACTCGAGTCATCAGGAATGGCAACGCATGGGGGGTATCATGGGCGAAACAGTATACTCTTATGTCCACGGTACTGCTCATGTCTATACGGTTACCACTTTCCATCAGATGGGCCACCAGCGTGTTTGCCATTTTAAGTTGCATAAAAAAGTATGTGTGAGTATTAGTTTATGTTTCCTTAATTAATTAATGAATTACCTATTTCTCTGTTTGCCCGATGGTTGACTAGTAGAAAACACGACCCGGTGTCTGTCAAATGTACACATTGAATAAATATATAATGTGAAAATGCCAGGCAGACATGGCAGGTACTAAAGAAGACCCGAAGTAACCGTGCGTTAATTTATTTATATCCCAAACATAAAACTATCATTATAGGATCAAATTCCTAATTTGATACTTAAGAAATTACAGACAGACAATAAAATTGACATTAATTTTTTTACTTTTCAGTACTATTGTCAATGATTAGGGTCCTTTCAGTGTCTTTCCAATATCACATTTTATAACTTAATACACAATGAAATTCCTGTGAATTTACTCAGATTACGAAAAAAAACATTTAAATCTTTTGCAATGAAATTTCGACATCCAAACGCGCATATTAGTGGCGTAACTGTTAACAAAATATTTTGAACGAAACAAGAGATAATGAATGAATAAGACTTTGTAGCTTGCTTCCTTCTAACTTACAATGGAATTTCACGATATAATCCAGGGACCGCGGATTCATCTACTGGCGGTTGTTGTCCACGGACCCTGCGGCCGCCAAGGAGGTGGTGCTCGCCGACAAGCCCCTCATCTCCGAGGAGACCGACCTCCTGGAGCCCACTCTGCTGGACGAGCTCATCTGCCACATCAGCTCGCTCGCCTCTGTCTACCATAAGCCGCCTACTGCGTTTGTTGAAGGTGAGAATTGTTTTATCAACCGATCTTCAAAAAGAAGGAGGTTTCAATTTCGTTGTATTTTTATGTTTGTTACGTCATAACTTCGCCACTTCTAAACCGATTTGGAACGGATATACTTACAGATTGGTTCAATAGAAATTTTATCAAAATCGGTTCAGTAATTTAGTTCTTTTATATCAAAATAGCTGATTGACACAATATTTAAGTATATTTGTTGCCATTATGATAAAGGTATACTTTAGGACAAGAATAGGTAATATTTAGTTTATTAATAGGCTATGATATGTTTGGTGCGATGTACTGTACATTTACGCTTGCGGCAGGTCGCGGCGCGGGCGTCCGCAAGTCGCTGCCGGCGCGCGGCGCGGCCGCCGACGACTCGCAGCCTCACGTGCCGCAGGCCACCGTCATACCCAACCAGGTACGCGAGCAATGTTTTTTTTTTTTTAATGGGTGATAATGATATGGTAACCCCGTCTGCGCTATTGGTATACACTGGCGGGGCACCAGTGAGGGATGACAGATGAAGATGAAAGTAGGTCAGTTGGCCCATCCTGACGAATTAAACTAGAATTAGTCACGATGGTTTCCAGGGGGAACCACGTGGAGGTCGACCTGACAGGGTATATTGCTAGTAATAAGGCTATTTGACCCCATTACTAACAATCCCTTTCCCCCCACGCGAGCAATGTTATCGAACCTCAGCTCACATTTAATTATATATACATACATACACATCTGTTCCATTGGTGTAGGCAGAAATAATGGAACGTCAAATGCTTTGATTCAACAAACCTCTTTCGCTTCCCCCACATTCATCAACCTTTTTATAAATGCTCGCTGGTTACGGGTAATTTTAATTTGGCCCTTCTTTAGTACGACGCCTATTTGGTCAAAATACATCCGTCTAGGGCGGCTGCAATCTCTTTTGTAATTCTTTTTTCATCCATCCTCTCCATATGGCCAAACAAACGCAACATTCCCTTTTAAATCTTTGTCATTACATCGTCTTTCAGTCCACACATGTCTCTAATAATATTATTGCTTAATAATTCTTTTAATGTAATACCACACATATTTCTCAGAGTTCTTATCTCTACAGTATTTGCTCTGATTTCATACTTTTTCTGCTAGTATTCCCTGAATTATGGCAAAGCGAGCTTTGCTCGATATATTTTTGCTTGCCATAATTGAGAGTATGAATAAATGAATGAGTATACTTGAGTACTGAGAGTACTTGGCAAGTTAAAACTCTTTTTAATATAAAAATGTTATACTAGTAAACAATAACAGTTATCTACTATAAGAAAGTGAAATACTGGTAATAATGTATCATGATATCTATATAAATAAATAAATATCTACTTATTTCACTGTTGCAATAGATTCACGATAATTTTTATATTTAGATCTGTATTTATAACTATATTGTGTAAATATATATTTTGAGGTCATCGCTCCATTTATAGTGTCTGGCACTTGAGAACTCAAAAGGTTGCTCATATTTTTTGTTAACATGATTGAAGCAAAATCTTAATTGCTAGCATATATAACTTTATATCTATTCGAATTTTCAGGAGTCGCTGATAGGTGATCTCCTGTCCATGGACATAGGCGGGCCTCCAGCTCCTACACCTGCTTCAAACCTTGACTTGCTGGCCAGTGGAGTCGACGTTCTTGTGAGTATCTATAATTTAAAAATTAAAAATTTGTTACTGTTGACAGTGTACGGGTTCATTTACATTTATATGTTAGTGTACTGGCAGCATTATTTGTCTATGTTTTATAATAAAAAAAAATGTTGTTTAAGGAATAAAGGAAAAATGGTTTTTGTAAAAAGAGTACTAGAAATAGATATAGAATAAAAATAAGAGTAAAAATAACATTACCATTTACTTTAAATTTATTTTTATTCATAAGTGTTGTGGTCATGGCGATATTGTAAACGTACCTATTCAAACGAACGAATTTGTCTATACATATGTTTTCGTCAGCATACATTAAGTAGCCGTCTCGTTCTACTCAAAAACGATGTAGGGTGAACATGTCTATCGACAGACTCATTTATCACTTATCTAGGTGGATTACATACATTCATATCATGACGATAAAATTTGTACAATAAATTAATGCTGCGATTAATTATATATGCCTCCATTGCATTGCGATAGTTGGGCGGAGGCACGGAGGCGGCCGGTGGAAGCACCACCACAGGACTGCTGGGAGACATCTTCGGCGTGACGGCGGCACCCGCCTGCTACACGCCGCCGCGGCAGTGCTGGCTGCCCGCGGACAAGGGGAAAGGTATATCATATATATCTATCTTTACGCTAAATTCCTTGTGAGGTGGGCATAGAAAAAAATTATAGCACCATATTTAAAAAGTAAAAGGTAACCCGCCACCTAAATAGTAAATCTAGAATCGTAATCCTGCCTGAGATATTGGTATACGCTGACAAAGTACCAGTAAGTGTTGATAGGTACGATCAACCACTTCCTGACAAATTCATCAGGAATTTTCAATGCTTTTGGGAGGGAGGGAGGGCAGGCATGAAGGTCGTCTTGCAACTATCCTTATTTGTTATTCTTTATTGGTAGGTATTATATAGATATGAGGTCGTCAGCCTAATATATCTACCCTAATTTAAAACTAATGTCTTATGAGAATCAGTGGAACTAATCATGCGTTAACAAAGAGCACAAAATAATTATAGCTAAAAATCATCAATTATGCTGGAATTTTCTATACCAATTTAATTACATATTATGGAAATAAGAGAATTTTTTTTAACAACTTTAATACTTTTTTTTTAGGTCTAGAGATCTGGGGCACATTCAGCCGTCAAAATGGACAACCGCGTATGGAGATGACATTCACCAACAAAGCAATGCAGCCCATGAGCGGTTTCGCCATACAGCTCAACAAGAACAGGTGAGATAAGTTATTTTAAATTCGCCATTTTTAATGTATCATATGTGACGTAAGGCAATGTTCATGACCAAAAACTCAAAATATACGCTTCAAGAAATACAATGTAAAAATGATTGCTTCTTATATATCGTCTTTCCAACATTGAATGGATGAATGTTTTATTTTCTCTTCACAAAAGGTAGTAAAAAGTAACAATTTTAGGTACTATTATATGTGAGATCAATTTTGTGAGAGACCGGTGGCTGCAGTAGCTTTTAAAAAGACCTGTGTTACATTATTTTATATATACTTTATTGTACATAAGAGTGTATATCGTTTGTTCTATACCTAGTCACTTTAATTCGTTTCATCCGCGTTATAACGCTGGCCTGATACTAATGAAGATGAAATCAGGTTAATGAACACGTCGCGATTCGTGACAAATTAACCAAGAATTGATCACGGCGGTTATCAAATTTGTCTGTAATGGGGTCGCGGCTAGACTCCGTGACTAACGATTTTCTCCCTCACTTTTCGCCCTAGTAAGCAATGTACGCTTGTCGACAGTTTCGGCGTGTGTCCGGCGGGCGGGCTGGTGGTGGGCGCGCTGGGCGCGGGCGGCGCTGCGGAGGCGCCGCTGTCGCTCGCCACCAGCGGACCCGTGCAGCGGATGGAGCCGCTCAACAACCTACAGGTACCCTCTCTACCTCTTTTTCAGGGGGGAAAGGGATTGTTAGTAATGGAGACTGAGAATCCCATTGCTAGCAATATACCCAACCAGGTCGACCTCCTCATGGTTCTCCCTGAAAACTATTATGGTTAATTCTTGATGAATTCATCATGATGGGCTAACTGATCTGTTTTCATTCTCATCTATCACTGGTGCTCCGCCGTCGTATCCCGTTAGCGCAGGCGGAGTTATCATACCATTTTCACCCATCAAAAAAAAACCTTTTTCAAGCCCTCACATTACTGACTACAATCTCCAATGGGAAGCTATGATAAGGTCGAAGATATATCTCGTGGACCCTCGAATAGCCTAGACCTAATTATGAGGTTGGAAACATTTAGTTCCATTCTTAGCCATACATATGATAATGGTAAAGTGAAACGCATGAGATCTTGACTAAATACATTAATTTTTTCCCCAGGTGGCAATAAAGAACAACGTAGATGTATTCTACTTCGCGTGCCTAATTCCCGTCCATATTCTATTCACCGAAGACGGCCAGCTCGACAAGCGGGTGTTCCTCTCCACTTGGAAGGAAATCCCAGCCGCCAACGAGGTTCAACATACGCTCTCCAACGTGATAGGCACCGCAGACTCTATCGCACAGAAAATGACACTCAACAACATCTTTACGATCGCGAAGAGGAACGTAGAAGGCCAGGATATGTTATACCAGTCTCTGAAACTCACTAACAACATCTGGGTGCTTCTAGAATTAAAACTGCAACCTGGCAACCCCGAAGCGACCCTCAGTCTCAAGTCCCGAACCGTAGAGGTCGCTACTTGCATTTTCCAAGCTTATGAAGCGATTATCAAATCGTAATCTCATTTATTATTTATATGTATATGTTGGTCTAAGAGATTAAAGTATTCCTATACATAAGTGATGTATTAAACAAGACTTTGTACGACTGTAAATTCCAATAGTTAAGTATGAATGTTTATGAAATTAATTCGAGTAGTTTATAGAATAATGTTGCATTTGTAATTTTGTTCGGAGACTAAATTCGTGCTATATACGGCGTCTAATAAAATATGTTAAAATATAGTTTTTTTTTTCTCTCATTTTTTATCTTATATCACGCACAATACCAAAAGCAATAAGGACGAGGGATAAACGCGAGTTACTACAACTAGTGACAACTTGTATTTATTATCGTCCCTTTAGTCTTCTATTAGCTAATGGCCTCCTCAAATTTCATCCTAGATGTAATAGCATTAACGTCATTCTCTTCCTCTACACGCTCTTTTGCAAAAAAAAAAAACTGGGCATTTTGAAATAATAAAAATCTAAATTGTTTAAATAAATAATTAAAATCTAAAAGCATTGTCTAGATTTTTAGCATTTGGAGATGTTTAAGGAGTTTGTGACGCTCATCTGGCAATAATTATGACATTTTCTGCACTACTCATAGTCGACTGATTAAAGCTGCTAGGTGTTAAGTTATATATATGAGAGGAAGTAATGTCTACTAAAGGGTTTTTTATTGAAATAGTAACTACGTCTACGCTACGTACGCTGTACGCTGACGGGGCACCAGAGAGAATGAAAGCAGGTCGGTTAGCCTATCGTGATGAATGCAACTAGAATTAACCACGACAGTTTCCAGGGAGAACCGTGTGGAGGTTGCTAATTATGGGAAAATTTGACCCCCTTACTAATAATCACTTTCGCCCTAAAGAATTTTTTTAATGTGTGGAATAGAATGATAACTCCGCCTACGCTATCGGTATATGCTGGTGGGGCACCAGTGAGGGATGATAGGTGACGATGAAAGCAGGTCAGATAGCCCATCGTGATGAATACAACTGGGACTCAGTACGAAGGTTTCCAGGGGGATCATGGTGTAGGTTGACCTAATAGGGTATATTGCTAGCAATTGGACTGGTATCCTCCCCCCCCCCACAAAGTCCTAAAGAGGGGTTAACACCCCTTTGCCAACACCATACCCCACCATAGCAATTCCTCCTTTCATTTTCACTTATTCTTTGTCACTGGTACCATCAGCGTAAATCAATAGAGCAGGCGAGTAATGCCAATTAATAGAAACGGTAATCTGTTTCTATTAATCGAAATAAAATAAAAAGAAGTACATTAGGAACAGTTCGTATATTAAACTCAACTATTATACATTGTAATCTTTACTAAAAGTTGAATGTATATTTACAAATTGGTAAGAAAATTCCAAATGTTCCGCTTAAAATTAATATATGTATGGTTTTATTTACTGCTCATAAATTTTTAACAAACAAACCAACAATTTTGGATATTTTTCAAAATATCATAGCATCATGCGATTGCTATGTAGAAATGTAAGAGATTCCAAGAGCCAATACATTTTTTAAAATACATACTTCATAAAATATAAAATGTTCTTATTTAAGAACGACTAATTTAGGTTCTTTTTTATTTAAAAAAGAACCTAAATTAGTCGTAACATGAACGACGGTTGCCTTTTGTAGAAAAGTAAATATACCAAAAAATATAATTATCTCTGTGGGTTTAACTCAAATTGCTCTTACATGAATTAAAAGATCTTGTAGGTACACTTCTTATTTAATATAATTATACTATTTCACATCAAATAATGTTATCCTTAAAGTATATAATACTATAGGGGATAGATATTAAAAAAAATTAATTTGTACAGAAGAATAACATACTAATTATATTGAATCCAATAGAAAATTCAAACTGACTAATCACATCTTTGTTTAAAATAGTTCTTTTGATTTGTTCAAATTGAATTACCTACTGCATCGCAAACGCGAGATGATACCCACAATATTGGTGTCCGACATTCAATTTCGACTAGGTAGGCACTTATATACACGATTTAAGGGGAAGGCATGAACTGGTCCTCATATTTTATGAATTGATGATTACCAGTATTTCTATCTTGGTCATTCCCAAGTAACCTACACAATACAATGGTACATAGGATACAATTATAGTAAATAACTAATCTATTTTAACAAGAAACTCTTCTATTTCCAGTTTTTGTCTCATTATAGCTGAGAGCACGACCTCGGTGCTGCACACAACATTTAATGTCTTTTCCGATTGGAGCAGATAATACACTAGATGTAAGTCATTTGGCACAGTCAGCACGAGGTAACTGTAGGGTTTCTGATTGTGCATCTCTTGAATAGAGACATAGGAACGACGGTTCTTCTCAACCTTGCCTCCGCACAGCTCAATCATTTCTATCAGCGCCGATCTAGACGGCTTCACGCATGGGGTCAAGAAGAACGTGACTCCTTCAAACAGTCTTTTCCTTTGTTCCCCGCAGAGTAATACCTCAGATATGTCGCATTTGAACATCTTGTTAAAGGCCTCGTCTCGCAACTCGTGTTTCGCTTCGTCGGCAAACTTGTTCAGCCTCTGACTGTCTAGGACCCACTCGGTGGAGATCAGATGCTTGACAGTGACGAGGCAGCTCACTAGCTTGCACGTGCGAACGAGTTTCTCCATAACCAAGTGCGTGGCTTCGGCTGGTGATGTGACTACGGAGCCGCCTAGTTGCCTGCAAATAAGTGTTGATATTTATTATTAAAAAAATATAGGTTACATATTTTGTTTTAATTATAAATTTAGAATATGCTTACGACTATAATCCCTAAAGAGGCAGTCAAACGCATTTGTAGAAACCAATGCTTCATAGTAATAGTAAAATTTTAAACGTCATGCGTACATAATGTTTATTATTGTGGTGCTTGAGCTTAACAATTATTCACAATTATTAACACATTGTATTCTGTAATAATTTATGTGAAAGACGAGCCAGGATGCCCAAAAAACAGCATTTCTAGCATACTGATATCTAAACATAAAACTGAATTGTAAATTATAAATAAAAAAAACTTTATACATGCAGTTCAATTACAACCTCTTATGATGTTTAATTTTTGAATCAATACCATGATAACTAACATAATTAAATACAAAATATAATAAAAACATGCTGTTTATTGGATATCCCATAGCCATATCTACCATATAAATGAAATACATAATCCCTATTCAATCTAATACCTGTTATACTAAGATTATTCCTTCACTACGACATACTGTTAGTCTGTTAAGCTTGCAAAATATATAAATTAGAACAGCACAAAGCGACATAAAAACAACATACTTTCTACAAAATTTTTAATATTCGTATTTCTACATAGTAAAGGAAAAATTACAAACAAAAAATGGTTCAAGCCATTTCATTATCTTGAACATAGTTTGCATTTTCATCTGTATCTGTTGTTTTATTGCTGAAATTAAAGAAATAGGAGAAATAGCGGAATTAAGCAAATTAAACGAATTAAGCAAAGTATTAAAAGAGTTTTAAAATTTAATAAGAAAGGTTATAAATTATTCTCGTACTAGTTGTACCTCATGATTTTACCCGAGTGAATTAGGTTTATCTTAATAAGCCTATGCCATAATCCATACGGTCTATCTCTGTTGTAAATTATATTCACAACTATTGTTAGACATTAAATGATATCATCATAGTCGTAGAATACTGATGGATCTTTATATGTAATCTTTGTCAGATCCGTCAGTATTCTACGACTATGACGATATAATAAAAGTCTTGTCATATATATAGCGACTTAAGAAGTATTTTCAATCGACTAAAAAAGGGTATTCTATTCTAAATTTGGTTGTATAATATTAGTTGTATATATATTTGAATACCTCATAACTCCATCAATTAGAAACCAATTTGGAATATTCTTTTTTATCTTAAAGGATTTGTTTCGTAGAAATTTTATCAAAATAAATTCACTAGTTTTTTAATCAAAATAATTGGTTTTCCTATAAATGTAGTCGGTTTTTGATGTGGATCACAGTTTTAAATTATCTTTGTTTTTATTGTATTGAGCATATAGTAAAATTGGATTTTCCAGCTCATATGATACGTATACGGCCTTGTAGGTGTAGTGTACCGAGTACTGTTTACTGACCTGACGATGGCTGCCAGCCGGTCCTGGTCGGTGGGGTTGACGGCTGAAAAGAGAACGCGCGGCGCCAGGTGCAGCGGCGGCGGCGTGGGCGGCGGCAGCGCGCCCGCCGGCGGCGCGGCGCCGGCCGCCGGCGCGGTGCTCGACGGCGGCTCAATACGTGGCTTCTTAGCTCGCCGCGGAGACAAGTTCGCTGCCGCCGCGCTACGTTTCGCGCGTTCATTCGACTCCTGGGTTATATTGATCGGCATTTTCCAGCCATCTGAAATGAAAATTGTTAGATATTGTTCATGCATTGTTCAGATTACGTTTTATATTAGGAAAACCAAACTTCAAAGATTTGTAACAACATAAATTCATTTATATTTTTTGTGTAAGTAATGAAGTCATTATTAGTCGTTGCGTACGTTTCATTGAGTACAGATGTGCAAAGGCGCTGTCTATAAATCGCTTAGCATAATGGCAACAAATATATTGAAATGCAATAATTGTAATATTGTAATTAGTGAACTATTATCTTTTGTCCAAAATAAATGTGATGTTATGGACGAGGAAAGTCTCATTCGTATTGTTACGACTTCATTTTCGAGTGAAGAAATCAGGGAAGCGAAGACTTTGTTATTTGACTCAGTCAATACGAAGATACGAAAGATTATGCGGAAAAAGGACGGTAAAGAGAAGCGGGATATAGAAGATATTTTATCACTATTGAAAGGAATAGATCCCGAAAAAATTCCGATTTTTGTCGCAAGAAACTTACAGAAACTACCCCCCATAAGTTTTGATCACGTAGATGTAACCAAATTATTAAAAGATATACTCGTGTTGCAACAGGAGGTTCGAACTGTAAAGGAAACCTGCGCTACAACGGAAGAATTACAGTTGATAAAGAATGAGTTGGCAAACTTAAAATCAGCCTCAATTGTGAATAACTTTGAACCCTCACAATATATAAACACGAAGAGAGGGTGTGCAAATGTTATTGATAATTTTCATTACGACAGTGGACCCATTGGATTGCTTCATATTTCTCAGGAAGAGAAAAATGGAAATATAAATAGCGAGTGCAACATAAATATTCCATCGAAAACGCAATCTAATTGTTTGATAAATAGTACATTAGAAAACGTAAGTGCGAGGGTAGAAGATACAGTACATCAATGCAAACAAAACATAGCAGCGGACACGCAAGTGAGTGCGACCGGTGTGAACATAGCCAATAGTCACAACACAGTCTCCCATCCATTAGTAGTGGAAAAATCATTTGCTGATATTGCTTCTGGTGGAAAATGGAAAAATGGAAAAAAGTCAGAAGATTGGATAGTTGTACAAAGAAAGAAACTCAGAAATAGATTTATGGGGAAAAGAGGACAAGCAAGTACAGAACCGGAGGAAAAATTTCGAGCAGCAGATGTAAAGATACCGCTTTTTATAAATAAAGTTGATAAAAATACTTCCATAGAGGACATATCTTCATATATTTTGCAAAAAACTAAGGTGTCTGTAGCGCTAGAAAAAATTTGCATGAAATTTCAGAAGGAATATGATGCGTATAAAATATTTGTACCGCAAAGTAAATTATCTATATTTATGGATGCAGGTCTATGGCCTGATGGAATTTCGTTTCGTCGGTTTGTTACTTTTAAAAAGACATCTGGTAATGATGACAAGTTTTTAAATACAAAATAACAATGCATAATAGAACACTAACTTTGATATCCTTCAATTGTAAATCAATGAAAAGATCGGTAGAATGTATAAAATCTTTATGTGAACGGGCGGATATAGTCGCATTGCAGGAAACTTGGCTTCTACCTCATGATATACATATTTTAGGTAGCATTCATGATGATTTTGGATATTCTGGAAAGTCTGCTGTGGACACATCAGTAGGCATTCTTCACGGTAGACCGTTTGGTGGTGTCGCAATATTGTGGCGGAAAAGTGTTTTCAGGTCAGTGTCGGTGATTAAATGTGAAAGTTCGCGAATAATAGCAATTAATGCAGAGACTAGTGATAAACAAATGGTTATTATGAGTGTTTACATGCCCACAGACGATAGTGAAAATTTAACAGAATTCATTCACTGCTTAGGCGAGATCTGTGCAATTGTTGAGAATAATGACTCGCAGACTGTATTTATTCTTGGTGATTACAATGCGCACCCAGATGGACAATTCGGTAAGGAGCTTTTACATTTCTGTACAGAACAACAGCTGATTTGTGCGGATATAGAGAAATTAGGTTTGAATTCGGATAATTATACTTTTATTAGCGATGCACATGGGACAAAAAGTTGGTTAGATCATATTTTAGTAACACAAGCTTCTTGGAAGTCTATTACAGAGATAAATATACTTTATGATATATATTGGTCTGATCATTTCCCTATTCAAATAAAATGTAACATTAATATATTGCAATCAAAAATAGCAATAAATGGAAGACATTGTAATAAAATATTGTGGGGAATTAGAGACTATGAACAGATACAATTATATAATAATTATTGTAATAAAAAGTTAAGTAAAATTGAGTTCCCATCTGAGCTTGCTAATTGTTGTGATAGAGAGTGCAGTGATCCTATTCATAAGACCATAATAAACCAATTATACAGTAATATAGTAAATACATTAGCAGAAGCTGCAGCTCGAAGTCACGACAGGCCTGTTGGGCGGCGAAGATGTGTAACTGGTTGGAATAAATATGTAAGGGAGGCACATAATGAGGCTAGAATAAAGTTTTCGATATGGGAATTATATGGTAAACCAACTGAGGGTATTATGTATAAAGAAATGTATGAGAGTCGTAAGAGATTTAAAAGTAAACTAAAATGGTGTCAAAATAACCAAGACCAAATAAAAATGGATATAATTGCTCTTTGCCGCTCCAGAAGTGACTTTAGTGGGTTTTGGAGAGCGACAAATAGTCTTAACGGTAAAATTAGTTTTCCTGTAAATATTAATGGTATTAATTGTCCTAAACAAATAGCTAATATGTTTAAAAATAATTTTAGAGTAACATCTCCTTTAGGTCAACAAAACTTACAGTCGACTACAAATGCTTGTAGTAAAAAGATAGTAGGTCAAATGCATAATTTTACATGTAAAGATATTGAATTTATTATAAAGAACATGAAAAGAGGAAAGTCCCCTGGGCATGATGGCCTTAGTATAGAGCATTTTCAGGCAGCTGGGGACCATTTGCCCAGGGTGCTCTCAATGTTATACACGTTTTGTATTGGGCATACATACCTACCAGAGGATATGTTGAAAACGATTGTTGTACCAATACTTAAGAACAGGACGGGAGATGTATCGGACAGCGGTAATTACAGGCCTATATCACTGGCTACAATAACAGCCAAGGTGTTTGACGGTTTACTTGATACGCAACTTAGACGACATCTAAACTTGCATGACCTTCAATTTGGCTTCAGGCAGGGGGTGTCGACTGAATCGGCCATTCTGTGTCTCAAGCATACGGTCAGATACTACACAGACTAGAGATGGGCAATCCACCTGGGTGGGTTTAAAGTCTGGTGGGTAAAAACCGGGTGTTTTGGGTTTATTGGGTTTAAACCCCATAAACACCCAAATTTTTGGGTGTTTATGATTTTGTACTTCATCATCGTCATCTCAGCCGCAAGACGTCCACTATACTGGACATAGACAATATTATTATGCAGCCTACAGAATAAAAAACTTTTAATTTGATTTTGAGTTTATTAAGAAAGAGATGAAAGTAAAATGTAAAACTACAGTCAATCACTGTCAGATTCAGAGTTATTACAAGCGATGAATTGTATAGGTTCGATAGGCTCTATTTCGTCTAAACTGTTATGTTCATTTACTTGCTCAATGAATGCTTCCAGTTATAACAAATGAATGAAATTTTTTCAGTTCTTTCAGTTGTAAGTCGATTTCTTTTGTTATTATGTATGTAGCCTTGGATACTAAAGGAACGCTCAGTGGCTGCCGAAGTACAGGGAGCTGATAGAATACGAATCGCTACTTTGCTTAACTCAGTGGAACCACAAATACCTTTCCACCATATTAGGGGCTCAATGCTATCTAATGAGCTCCATACAAATCCTCTGGCCCAAAAGTTTTCTTTAGCTTTATAACACGCCAAATCTGCCATTACATTTGACAAACTTAAGTGTTGGCTTAAATTGTAGATAAACTCCATACCCTTAAGTTCTTCCTCTTGAGTAAGTTCGACTCCTAGAGTCCTGGGGTCTAGAATATATGCTGCAAAATGTATTGGCCTCATTGCCATATTGCATCTTGAAGATACTGATGTTAGAATCTGCTGTTTGCTTTCTTCGCTCAATGTCGAAATCTCATTTAATGCAAAACGTATCTTAGCTTGTACATCTCTAAATGTAATGTATGTGCGATGCAAACGATTCTGGTCGCTCTCTAAGTAAAATATGCTTTCAGTGACTGGTTCCAAAATACTTATACATTCCCCTGTCTTCGTCCAGAAATCATCACTTAGAATTAAATCTTTAATATCTCTTGAAATTACCACATCTTCTCTAACTGTTAATATTTGCAAAGCTATCTTATTTGCTTTCAAACTTTTTAACGAAGTAACATGACTTCCCCATCTTGTAGCACAAGGCAATTTTAGTGTTTGTGTAGAATCTTCACCCTGCCTTGATTTTATCAACAAGGAACTTAATCGTTGACTCCTTTTAACAGTTTTTATTATATTTATGGCTTGCATAATAAACACAGTTACTTCTTGTATCTTTACAATATCTTGGCACAACAAGTTAAGGATATGTGCACAGCAACCGAGAGGAACAACATGTGTTGTATATTTCTAGCGTTATCGCCAATAAGTACAAGAAACTTATTTGCTCCATACACTTTCATTACTTTTTCAACTTCTTGGCTAAGGTATTCACTAGTGTGAGGATTACTTTCTGTATTCAAACTTTTAACGTATGCAGGTTGAGGTTTTGATATAAGAAAGTTTATTATTCCTTCATTTCTTAAATTAGACCAGCCATCGCACTGAAGGTGTAAGTAACTACAAGCATTTAGTTCCTCATTTAACTCAAAACGCATTTCTCTATATATTTTATCTAAGTATTTTGTCGCTAAAGCTTTACGTGAAGGTATTTTAAATTTTGGTTGCAATTTTTCGAAAAATTGTATCCATAAAGGATGTTGCACCATCGATAATGGCGTCCCTGTTACAAATATAGCTCTCGCTAATTCTGTTTTTATATGATCATCGGTGTCTTGAAACTCAGCATTTATTGTAGTGTTAGCAGACGACGAGGGGCTTATAAAAGAATCATTTGTCTCTATCTCTGACAGTCCAGACATTTTGGTTTTGGACGAGCTATCTTTTATAAGTTTCATAGAGTCTTTTAATGTTTCTGGAGATTTTGGACAAGTGATAAGATGTTGAAGCATTTTGGCAGCATTACTGAATTTGTAGACCTTATTACAAAGCTTGCAAGAAACAGACTTGTTTGGTAAAGTACGGTAGTGCTCCCATATGCGTAAATCTTTAGGTCTCCCCATTGAACCTAAAAAAATGAACGATGATTAGTTGGTCTGACGAAAATTCAACAATAGAGTGCCTATTTTTTTACAATGATTATTTCTTGTTATTTACAATAAATTTATTAAAAAAATAATAAAATAAATACAAAAAACCTTTGTAAAATTACATCTCCTCGGAGGATTAAACGCAGACGCTAGTTTATTATCGTATTGTTCTGTATTTTTCTCAGCAACTTCTTTAATTCGATTAGGTACTTACGCATATTATGTTAAAAATAAATATCTAGTACACATCTTAGGCTATCCACCATTATTATCCAATGACGACTCTCAGCTAACTATGCACTATCATCCAAAATAAACGTGTATGGAAAATTTTATCCCAGTCGGTTGAGGATTGAGGATAATTGCATCAACATACGAACATACCTACATACTTTTATTTACATAACGCAAGCTAAATAAAAGCTTGTAATAATACATCTAATTTTAAGTTAAAATTGTTAAGTGATCATGATATAATTGTATCATTCAAAAATCCACTTACCTTTAATTATTTCTTGTTAAGTATAAATATTATTTCAAATCTGCTCCCTTAATATGCACTTTTTTACTGCTTTTCCTACCTAACACGTTACCAGGAAGTCACGTTACCAGAGTCAGAGTAATAGTGAACACGTTTGACAGTGATTGTCGTCGCCTCATATTCAGCGTCGACGAATAGGGGAATCCCCAGTCATAATGTATTGCATGCGTGGCGGTCTTACTTCAAATCCATAAACAAAGAGATAATTACAGAACTCGATACTAGATGGCGCTGTTTTTGTTTGAAGAAAGTTTGCGGGCTAAAATACATAGAATTTCATCAATGACTTCCACAAAGAACAACATTTCTGTTTTTTCTAAGTCCGTATCTCTTCCGTATATTTCATAAGATATAAGCTTGGGCTACATTGTTATGCAACGTGATTTTGTCGCTGTCTTGCTAGCAGGGTTGACAGATATACGATTTAAATCGTACTCATACTATTATTTGTCTATTTTTTAATGTACGATCGTAAAGATTATGATCGTAATTCGCACAAAAACATACGACTTTTTGGTTACCTGGCAACATTTTTATTATGAAACGAACATGCTCACATCATCAGTCACATGCAACAATTTATTGGGGATTTCCCCTTCACATCTGGCAGTCCTGCTTGCTAGAATATAGGTAAGTCAGCCACAGTTACTGACGATCGATATTTAAAGGGTATTGTTTTTGTGCTAAATATTTCATAAAAACGTTATTTAATACTTTGTGGATTATTAATTTAGTTGATAATCACTGGAAGTAAAATGGATGCTAATTTGAGAGATCAAGATCTTCGTATAAAACAGTTAATAAAAGAAAATCTACGTAAGTACTCTTTTTATACCTAGGTAGGTAAGGTATAATAAACACAAAAGGTACTTAGATCGCGTGTGTTCGAAGCATTTATTCTAATAAATTTAATTTAAAATTGTAGAAAGAAAAAAATGTCTGCCAAGCCGTAGCCGAAGCCGATCTCCAAATATATTTGGCGATAGTGAGACCCAGTGTCCAGATGATTTACCCAGCGTCGTCGCAACAAAGAAAAAAAACGAGGATAAAGTAAAAGAAAATTTACTGAAAGAAGAAACAAACTGTTCTAAATGCTTAATTTATGGAGAAGAGGATAAAAGAAATGAGTATTTCGGACTGTTAGTGGCTCAAGAATTTAAATATATACGGCCATGTGTGCGAACGAGGTGTTATGAAGAAATTTTAAAGTATCTACGGGAAGCAAAAGGCCAACATGTTGATCAACTGCAACATGAAAACACTGAAAATTAATTACTTTCATTTTATTATATATAGATTTTTAAAATTTCCTGAAATATTATTAGTTAACGTTTTATTTAATATTGTAGAATTGATCAATACAATTTATAAAAATAATTTATTGGTATTACTTACATATTTTCAAAAAAATACGTAAAAACCTATTTTTTTGGGTGATTATGGGAGTTTATGGGTGTTTATTGGGTTTTTACCAAAGCACCGGGTTTAAACCCGGTGCTTTGCCCATCTGTAACACAGACAGATCCACTCCAGTCTATGCATGTTTCTTGGATTTAAGTAAAGCCTTTGATATGGTATCGTATGATCTTTTATGGAGTAAACTTGATAAGACTACGCTTCCTACAGAGTTAGTTAGAGTTCTTGAGTATTGGTACAATAATCAAAGTAATCAGGTGAGGTGGAATGATACTCTATCAGACTCATACCGATTAAAATGCGGAGTAAGGCAGGGTGGGCTGACTTCACCCAACTTGTTTAATATGTATGTAAATGGCCTAATTGAGGAGCTCAGCGGAATGCATGCTGGGTGTTATATTGATGGAGTAAGCGTCAATAACATAAGCTATGCCGACGACATGGTACTGCTGAGCCCCTCAATTGGAGCTTTAAGAAAAATGCTAGCTGTGTGTGAAGCATACGCGAAAAACCATGGTCTGGTATATAATTCTAGCAAAAGTGTAATTATGACATTTGTATCTGGACATAAAAAACCGAAGTATGTGCCTCCTATATCACTTAATGGAAATGTACTTGACGTGGTAACTGATTTTAAATATCTCGGTCACATTATTGCAAATACTTTAAAAAATGACCTGGATATAGAACGAGAAAGAAGAGCATTGGCAGTTAGAAGTAACATGTTGGCCCGCAGGTTTACTAGATGTACAAAACAAGTAAAAATAACCCTGTTTAAAGCTTTTTGTCAGGTGTTCTACACAAGTAGCTTGTGGGTCAACTATAGTCAAAAAACTTACAATGCTCTTCGAGTCCAATACAATAATGCCTTCAGGGCACTGTTGGGGCTACCTAGTCACTGTAGTGCGTCACACATGTTTGCACGGGAGCGTACAGATGATTTTTACGCAATACGACGCAAACGAATTGTTTCGCTGTTGGGTAGGGTGCGTGTTAGCTCAAACAGTGTCCTGAAGACAATTGCTGATAAAATGGACTGTCCCATTCTAAAATATTGGGTGGGACAGGTTATCAATGTAAGAGCGTTATGACCGCTCATTTACTAACATAGGTTAAGTCAATTTGTAACTAACAAAATGGGCCTTATGTAGTCTAATTAAATAAATATTATTTATTTATTATTATTTCAGACCAGCAAAAAAACTAACAATGTCTACTTACTCATTAAATGTGACACCAAGCTGTAATCCATTCTAAATGGACTGGACAAGTTGAACTGTTGATATCTTGCATTTTCGATCTGCAAAATAATATCGTTCATAATTATAATTAAAGTGATATGAATATGTCAATGTCATAAATCATAAATATTTTAATGTAATAATGAAAATATTTCAAAATATATAGCATCAAAATTATAAGTTTTTTTTTTATACAATTTAGAATGGAAAACAAGCTGACGGCCCACCTGATGGAAAGTGGTAACCGTCGCCTATAGACATGACAAGTACCATGGACATAACAGAGTATACTGTTTCGCCCATGATACCCCCCATGCGTTGCCATTCCTAAGGACTTAGATGTCATTCCTCTGTACCCAGTAAATTCACACCATATCCCACCCTTCAAACCGAAACACAACTATGCAAACACAACTGCTTCACGGTTGAAACACGAATGGGACAGAGGTACCCAAGCAATTGACTTTTGTACAAAGTCTCCCTCTGTAACGATACAGCGATAGCTGTACAAGCAAAGTCCTTTGCTTTACCCAACACTAAGAGTAAAAGAAAAAAAAATGTATAGTATCGCACCTGCGGCAGCGCGCTCATGTTGCCGAGCAGCAGGTCGGTGAGCCAGGCGGCCGTCACCACGGGCACGCCCCACTCGCGCGCGCGTCTGTACTTGGCGCCCTCCGCACGCTTGCACACCAGCACCGTGTTGTCGCGCGTCAGGTACGGCGTCAGCTGCGCAACACGAACCAATTACTTAGCATGTTACTTGTACAAGTCATACACGACACGATTTAACTTGCTTATAAATATATCATAGTTTCAAATCGCAGAAGTAATTATTAGATCAGTTTCGTCTCTTGTACAAAGCGCCCGAGTGTGTCGTTGCACGTGGTCCCAGTTCCTGTACTCATGTACGCAGTGTGTGATGCACGTATATCCACCTTCCAGCAGGCGAGCCGCACGCGGTCGTCGCCACGCTGCGGTACCTACAGCAGGCAGCAGGCAGCAGGCAGCGGGCGTACCTGCGCGCCCACGTGGCGCACGCAGCAGGCGAGCCGCACGCGTTCGTCGCCGCGCTGCGGTACCTACAGCAGGCAGCAGGCAGCAGGCAGCGGGCGTACCTGCGCGCCCACGTGGCGCACGCAGCAGGCGAGCCGCACGCGGTCGTCGCCGCGCTGCGGTACCTACAGCAGGCAGCAGGCAGCAGGCAGCGGGCGTACCTGCGCGCCCACGTGGCGCACGCAGCAGGCGAGCCGCACGCGGTCGTCGCCGCGCTGCGGTACCTACAGCAGGCAGCAGGCAGCAGGCAGCGGGCGTACCTGCGCGCCCACGTGGCGCACGCAGCAGGCGAGCCGCACGCGGTCGTCGCCGCGCTGCGGTACCTACAGCAGGCAGCAGGCAGCAGGCAGCGGGCGTACCTGCGCGCCCACGTGGCGCACGCAGCAGGCGAGCCGCACGCGGTCGTCGCCGCGCCAGCCGGACAGCGCGGCGCGGTGGTGGCGTGCAGGCCGCTCGCGGGCGCCGTACATGGCCGGCAGGTGCAGCGCCTGCCACGGCGGCGCCACGTTGCGCCGTACCATCGCGTCCGACAGCCAGTACGCCGTCACGCACCGCTTCGCGTCGCGCAGCGCCTGTCGGTCGCGATGCAAGTTCACCTCAGTTTATTGTAAACATAACTGGTATTTTTGTCTACAATGCTCGACTTGTTTTGAAATTATCCAGTACCTTAATCATGAGTAGCCATAACTTTCGCGCTAATATTGATTAGGAAACTACAGACAGTACTGAGATCATTGCTATAGAAGAAATTACAGTAACACCAAAATTTCTTAACAATCGAGGCACTCGACATTACGCGGTAGAGTATATAGGACCGAAACACAATCATTTATGTGTGAATGTAAACAGTGTAAAATGAATAATTTCTTTAAACATAGTTTTTAAACCATAAAGTCTAAAATACAAGATTAACTGTACAGCTAAAATGCTTATACTAATCTTTAACAAATTTTGACTTTCGAGTAGTTAGATATGTCAAGATACTTAGAACCCATGTTCTAAGTATCACCCATGTGAAGAGTTGATAATTTTACAGTAGGTGATGGTGCACGTTTGTAGTAGGTGGCACAGCGAAGTGTACCTGCATGACGACGCCGTGTTTCTGCGTCTCGCAGAGCACGTGCGTGACGCGGGCGCAGTACGAGGCCTCCACCTCGCCGCCGCGCCGCTGGATGGCCTCCGCCCACCGCGACACGCGCTCCTGGCCCCACGACTGCTGGTACTCCACCTGCAACGGGCAACGTTGCGCATCAGGCTTGGCGTATGCTCAGACGCTCACAACGCAGAGAAACAAAACAAAACGGCGGAACTTGGTAACGTGCACATAGGTTGCAATTACACGCTGCAACACAAATAAATGGCATACTAATGCAAACAATACAATATCTGCTGAAGAATAATGGATAAAATTAAAAAGAATAGAAAAAAGAACAAATTTATAAAACTTTTTTTTTTTTATTTCATTCTGCCAAATCATAGATCTCGGTAAACAAAAAAAAAAATAGACATGCATGCGTCGTAGAGTAATCAATCACAATTGCTTGTTTATTGGCATCACAATTGCTACTGATAGAGTAATCAATCACAATTGCTTGTTTATTGCTATTGCTTCTTCCATTATAAAAGAGATTCTGGGTTGCGTCACAGCGTATGTATCTCTGTGCATATTTATACCATGTCAAATCACTCTGCCATTGTTGCGAGGACTATGCGCCTGCTTATCCAGCATTCTTAAGAGCGGAACTCTATTGGTGGGACAATTGCATGTAATGTTAATCTATCGATACTGTCTTGTAAAATACTTACGATATGGAAGACGCATCCGAGCAGGAAAAGGTCCGGCGGGAGCTTTAAGTTAGGGTTGTGTCCGTAGAACTGGGCACGCGGTGGCGGTGGTCTCACGGCGCCAGCGTATACTTTGTTGCCCACCACGCCCACGCCCACACCTACGCCCACCCCCACCCCAACGCCCACGGGCCCTCCCGCGCCCACGCCGCCTGCCTGCTGTACATTAGATACTGATTTAAACATACACTTCTTCACAAAACAAAAGCATGTTCTAGTTGTTAAGCCATCACATTGTGTAAGATTTGTGTGTACACTTGAATCGTGCAATATGTATCGAATCAGAATAAATATAATAAACATTTGTATTTGTAACCTACTAACTTAGCGGCCACTCATCAGTTCTATCATAGAGCATACATACATGGGTACTTTTCACCCCAGTCGAAAAAATCGATTTGAAAGTCGAATATGCAATATTATGTTCACTCAGTTGCCTCTTGCTTCACTTGCGTTCACTTCCCATATGAACTATATTACTGGCACTTACAAAACAGCTTTGAGAAAGACTTTTTTTTAGATACTAGCTATTTCCTGTAGCTTTGCCCGCGTGATTTAGTATATAAAGTCCTAGCTGCTAAGTTAGGATATAACTTACCCATATGCCAAAGTTCATTCAAGTCTATTGAGAAATTTTTACGTGAATAAGCCACAAACATCCATTCATCCTTACAAACTTTTGCATTTATGATATTAATAGAATTTCCATGTACAATAGTGGACCTTAATGGCGAATAGATAAGAAACACTGCGCTTACTTGATGCGGATGGTGTTGGGGACCGAGCAGAAGTCTCGCCGGCGCCCTCACTGCGTGGGCAGCGGTCATCAACCTATTTCATGTAAATATATTATTTATTTAGTTGTGTGTCTTTGTCCCACTTGTATGTCTGCTGCTATGCAGTTATACTGGCATGGCAATTTTAGATTACTATGCGTATGTCACGCGAAATCTTTGCTTTAAATATATTTTTCTCAAACATGCTTGGAAATGTGAGCATTATTTTGACAATCTTCTTCGAGATAAATCAAAATTGCCGTACTGGCCAGATACATGCGAGCAGCGGCCGGCAAAAGTTGTATGAAAATCCATATCTGTCGTGTTTTACGGCCAGATATGGAATGGATCACGTATGTGTGCCTCGGCTACGCCTCCGCCTATATTAGCACGTTCGTCCATCAATGCCTCAGTTGCTGGCCGCTGCAGTAATGTACTATAAAATTATTCTATGTTTCATTACATTTGCGATTCTATATTACAGGAAAAATATTTATTTTTAAAGAGTTTACAAACTATATTGTATGCAGAGGCACTAACCTGAGCGTTCCAGCGGCGGAAGGTTCATGTTCTTGCGCGGGCGTGCCGCCCTGCAGCCGGATGTTCAACATATTAGCCAGAGCTGTCTTCGTTTTAGGGTTAACCACCAAAGCGCTGTTCGCTCCTGCATTACATATAATCGTATTTAGTTTCTTCTTTATTTAATTACGATCTGCTTTAACTTTACCTTATTACTGTAGATAAAATTTTGGAAAAATAATATATAGTTTATATTAGTCGCTGATATTGTAGCTTTTTATAAGTGAAAGAATTTTTAAAATTGGTTGTATAGTTATTGCCTAGCGAATCTTGGTTTCAATTAAATTAATTTGTATGTATTTATATACAAATTATTTTAATCGAGCCTGAAGACTAAAGATAATAAGCTAATCATTTCCTGAGTTGTTGTTGCGTAACACAAGTTGCGTGGCGTTCGAAAAAAAAAAAGAAGAATCCACGACATTTGAAAATTATGGGTTTCCGGGTTCGTGTGTGACGTGGTAGCGCAAGTCGAGGTACTACTGTATTGGGCCGCATACCCTGGTGCAGCTCGGGCGAGGAATCTTGCGGCGCTTCGGGCAGCACGGCGGCCACCAGCTGCGGGCCCGCGCCCACGCCTACACCCACGCCCACCTGCGCGTACGCAAACAAATGCATAACCATATATTAAGCGATACAAATATTTTCTTAAATTTCAGATCTGAACGATTCAATAAAATAAAAAATCGGATTTATGACAAATACTAATCGCTATGTAAAACTATAAAAACGTTCAGTCACTATTTATTTGCTAACCTGTTTAATAGGCACTTTATGGTAATATATACTTCCGTCATACTTGTAGTTTTTACCATCGGTACTGCTGCATCTCTTGTACACATACATACATATACATACACATACATAAGATTGTATTCCATCTTATTATCCTCTCCGTCCTCCACATGTACACCCACATTACAAATTCCCCACTGTCTCTCCCCCTCCCCCATTTAATATATACCAACCTGTTTAACCGCGGCGTGGTGGTGAGCGACATGCTCTCGCTGCGCCTGCAGCTGCTGCAGTCGATACTGCTGCTGCCGGTGCAGCTGCATCTGTTGCACTTGAGAGTCCATCGTTCCACCTCCGGCCCCGCCCGCTTGTACACCAGCGCCCGCGCCTGCGCCCACTGGGCTTGCAACTGCCGCACCACCTACTGTACAATATTTTTCATAAGTAATCATGATTGTTAGGGGAGAAAGGGATTGTTAGTAATGGAGACTGAGAATCCCATTGCTAGCAATATACCCAACCAGGTCGACCTCCTCGCGGTTCTCCCTGGAAACTATCATGGTTAATTCCTGATAAATTCATCATGATGGGCTAACTGGCCTGTTTTCATTCTCATCTATCATCCTTCTCTGGTGCTCCGCCAGCGTATCCCGTTAGCATACCATTTTCACCCATCAAAAAAAAAAAAATCATGATTGTTAAAACACACAGGTTATTTTAGACTCTTTACTAATATTATATAATTTATACTTAGAATGGCAAACTGACGGTTCACCTGATGACTAGTTGTATACTGCGATACTCATAGCACCCTTCATGTGTTGCCATTCCTGAATGTTTTTTTTACGAAATTTGTCATTAAATGGTCATAATATTTTTTTTAATGGATAATAATGGAATGGTAGTCCTGCTTGCGATAACTGTATACGCTGGTAGGGCACCAGTGAGGGATGAGGTGACAAATGAAAATTAGGTCAGTTAGCCCATCGTGATGAAAACGCCTGGAATTCAGCACGATGGTTTCCAGGGGGAGCCACGTGGAGTTCGACCTGACAAGGTATATTGATAGCAATGGGACTGGTAACCCACATTACCAAACCCCCCCCCCCCTCTCCTCCATCATGATATTTATACACATATAGTACTTGGTACGGAAAATAGTGTACTTTTTATCCCGGTACAACAATATTCGTATATCCCGGCCACGTGGACGAAGTTGCAGTTAGAATCTTGTGAGTTACAATTTTAGCCAGCTGTGCCCATAACCTCATCCGGGATTACCCGGTAATCACTATTAAGTGACGATCGATTTAATTTGTAATAATAATATAACCTTTTGACACTGACTTTATCTGTAGGGGATTTATTATTTTATCGTGACCATTCAATTAATAATTAACACAGACCAAATACAGAAGAAAATCATTAGTTATAAAATGCTTTCTGGGGGACCATTAACTTTTATGAAGACTCGAGACCAAAAAAGTTCATCGAAATTTGACACAATCGCACTTGCTGAAAATCACCCATTTGAAAATCACAAAATTTCTGCGAAATCCATTCAAGAATAAAAAAAAAATGATGAAATAGCGTAAAATTGAATGTGGCTATTGGATCGATTATTTCTAGCCTTCCTTCAAAATGTTCGCAAAAAGAAATAACAATGTATACTTTAATCTTAAGATTTTATTTGGGTATAGCTAATACTTGCACTTATATTATTTTGTATTCCTTAGTTGACTATTCTCGGGAATGAAAAAGTATGACTTTGTATTTTTACTAAGTTACTACATGGACAAAAGGCCTACATTAGATAAAAAAGTATTATAAAAAAAAAAAAAAAACATAATCAACCACAGAGACCATTCAAAGCCTGCTCTATTTACTATAGACACTTTGAGAAGAAATTTTAATTGATACTATGTACGGTTATAAACAAGACAAAAAGGAATATATAAAATCTTACTTTTAAAATCCATATAGTAGCAATTCAATAAAACACAGCGTAATTCTAAAGAATCTTTTCAGTTGTTACATTACAAGAGCGAGAAGGGTTACTGGATGTTTAGAACAAACGTGGATAGCACTTTGAAATTATAATATGTGATAAAAAGCGTCACATCTCAATCATATGTATGAGTTGGGATTAGAATACCAAATGTTCTAAACATATTATGTAACCATTATGACAGAGGTGCGAGTACAAACGAAATAGGACATGTTCCACGTATTGCCCTCATAAAACACAGAATAGCTAATCTACTTGATGGGAAGTAGTAACCGTCGCCTATAGATATGAATAGCACTATATAAATAACAGAATATACTGTGACACCCTTAAGGATAGCTTTAATGTATAGTAATTCCTGAGGGCTACGGTGTTATGCTTCTGTACTCTATAATTTGCAATATCAAAACCTTCAAACCGAAACACAAACCGATACAAGCGTAGATAATTAGCGGTAGAAACATAAATGGGAGATGCCCAACCAGACGATGTTTGTACAAAAACTCCTTTTAAAAAACTACTGATTGACAGCACAAAAAAATTATAAACATAATTCCGGCCAGTTGACGGCAAATTAAAAGCATATTTATAAAACTTTACAGTGCACACATTTTTTATATATTAGTTATATTGTGGCGATAAAATCGTATCGTTCTTAATTTGAAGCTAAAAAAAGAAAAAGTCGTATCGTGACGCGTTACGGTAGACTACATAGTGAGAAGTGAAAAGAATTCGTTGTCACAGATTCATATTCTTTGAACACTTTCATATTTCGTCATATAAAAGTTTATGAAATATCTATTGTAAAAATTTTATTGACATTTCTTTAGAAATCAACGATGTGTGAATGGAGCCTTAGATGCGAAAACGTGGCGATTATCTCAGAATATACTAGACTTATTTACATACGATTTCACTGAGGCAAAGTACAATGTTCGAGCATAAGAATAATGGTTCAAATTTACCAATAATACTATCACGATTATAAAATCAATTAATCAAGTTATATGTTCTTTTTGAACGTAATAACTGAATGGCAACACTTTTGATAGTCAATAGAAACATTTTATTCTTGTATGCAGTAAAAAAATCAAACATTGGAGGTAGAAAGAAAAAAAGTGATGTTTTTTTTTTGATGGGTGAAAATGGTATGGCAACCCCGCCTGTGCTAACGGGATATGCTGGCGGAGCACCAGTGAAGGGTGATAGATGAGAATGAAAACAGGCCAGTTAGCCCCATCACGATGAATTCATCAGGAATTAACCATGACAGTTTCCAGAGAGAACCGCGAGGAGGTCGACCTGGTTGGGTATAAAAAGTGATGGTTGGTGTCCGTTCTCTCAAACAGAAGTATAAAATTTATAAATATTGCTTTTTTTAAATAATTAAAATGTGACGAATTTCATAATCTCGAGAATTTAATACCGTTGTTATTGTCAATATAAATTACGCAAACAGTCAGCTGATTTGTCACTAAAAGGACACTTCGAGATTCGAACATTTATAAGATTCAAGAACAAAATCGTCAGTACTTATAAAATTTACGGGGTAAACTCATCTAAATTTAGCATGCTTTATGGATCTGAGCGATCTAAGTACCATTTAGAGGAATTTCGCAAATAAAATGGTCTTACCATTTTATTCGACCATTGTTTGAATCTAGATAGTAACTTTGTAACAATTTATTACATTTGTACCAGATTCGTTATCGTATTTTCGTGTCGAATTTATTTTTAAACCTGATAATTTAATCTAAATTTTAAATTACCAGGTTTAAATTTTTAATTTAAATTATTTTAGTCTTATTTTGACAGTCCAATTTATTTAATTTAGTTTAATTATACATTCTAAACATCTATTGAGGTATTTTATATTTTTTTAAAGAAAACTTTAAAATTAATAAAATAAAAAGTATAATTCTATCAAAAGTTTAATGCTGCTGATGACAGACATTTTCAATAATTTAAAGTGTTCATGATTTTTTTTTTATTACGCTTTCTTTATATATCTTATTTATAGTGATTTGTATTTTTTCTGAATAAAATATTAATAAAATTATTTTATCTAGAGAAATCTCGTGTCCGCCACAATAGCCGTTTAATTTTAAAAATAGAATGAAAGGTAAAAACAAATTAAAAAAAAACAACTTTCACAAAATTAATATGGGAGCACCCACCATACAGAAAAATTTCGATTAGAAAAATATTCATCATAATCGCTCCAGAATTAGCAGCACTGAGTTAATTTTTCATTAGATATAAAAACAAAACGAGACTTGATTACTTTATTTCAAAAGTAGATTAAATAAATAAATAAAATAATAATTTTATTAATAAGGATATATTTTTAAGTTGTGCCTTATTTGGTTGGTTTAGTATTATTAAAAACAAACCAGTTAAGAAACGAGTACTGCTACGACTTACCAGGCGACTGGGGTGGTTGTGCAGGCGACGGAGCCGGTATAGTAGCCGCTCGTGCTCCCTGCTGCTGCAGCCATTGTACCTTTAGAAACAAATTGGGTTACTATTTGCTTTATTCCTTAAAATGAATTCATCAAACTAAACATTAGTGAAGAAAACGATTACTAGTAATGGGATCTAACAGTCCCATTGCTAGAAATATACTCAACTAGCTTAATGACCATTTTTTTCCATACATTTTTCAGTGATAATGAAATGGTCACCCCGCCTGCGCTAACGGTATCCGCTGGCAGGGCATCAGTGAGGGATGATAGGTGACGAGGAAAACAGGTCAGTTAGCCCATCGTAATAAATTGCACTAGAATTAACCACGATGGTTTCTAGGGAGAAATACGCGGAGGTCGACCCGATAAGGTGTATTGCTAGCAATGAGGCAGTTAGATCCCATTACTAACAATCCCTTTCCCTCCCGCTTAATATCCGTTTGATCCCCCCTGTAAACCATTGTAGTTAATTTTATACACACTTATATAATATACAATAAATATTAAAAATATAACAGATCTGGAATGTTTAGATCATTTCATTATCACAAAAAAATTTATGTTAAAAATCAACAATAAAGGCACAGTTTGACTCGCGCCTGTATTATGCCATTCTTGACTAAGGGTCCCCGATGATCCCGAAACTAGTCGAGCATTCTTGACTAAAATACAAGTTAATCTGGTTGTTATCACTTCCACCACTTTCCATCAGTCATTTTCTTTGCATTCCGAATAAAAAAAAAGTTTAATGCTGTGAAATGGAGAGAATATAAAGAATGAGACCTGTTGCTGCTGTGTGAGTCCTGCAGGCAGTTGACTGCGTATAAAGGTGACACTCTGCGGGGCGCCGGCCGGCGACGGAGCCCCCGGCGAGCCTGTCACTACGCCGGGTTGCTGTAATTAGTTGAGATAATAAATACATAAGATTCACCCTTCCCAAAATTACAGATTTAAAACTATATTGGCAGTGTTGCTAATGTAGTTATAACTTTATTCAACTATACAAGAGTACATTTTCTATGACTGTCTGCCTTCCTTGTAGAACAGTTCACGCGTATCTATTTAACACGTTGAGCGCCATGTCAGCCATCGGTGGCTGACACTAGACTTTCCGTTTAGGCCGCGTCAGCCATCGGTGTCTGACAGCGTGTAACATGAGAACTATAAAATTTTACACTATTTTACGGAATTACAGAAAATTTATTTAAAATTTATAGGAATCACGTTCCAAACGTAAACTACCTTCTACTACGATAGGAAACACCAGCTCCTGCAGTACCAGCGCTTCGAAGCGGCGCGCGTGGCCTGAACGGGATTGCTGTAGAAATACGCGTGGCGCTCAACGTGTTAACTGTTTAAACGAAATAAGAACCTCCTTATTTTAGGAGACTTTTAAAAACTAAAAAAGTATTTTACTATACCATTAAATAAATACCACTTATAAATGTTTGTATTGTGCGGGGATCGGACCCGCTATAATCATGTACCTTGCATGAGGTGGTGTTTTTTTTAATGGCTGAAGATGGAATGGTTACCCCATCCGCGCTATCGGTATACACCGTCGGAGCACCAGAGGAAGATGATAGGTGAGAATGAATGGAGGTCATTTGGCCCACCATGATGATTTCGACAAGAATTAACCATGATGGTTTCTAGGGGGAACCGCGAGGAGGTCGACTTGAGAGAGTATATTGCTAGTAATGAGGTTATTAGACTTTATTACTAACAATCCCTTTCCCCCCTTGAGGTGGTGTTAAAGCGCTAGACAAACAGCAAGATCATAAAATTATATTATTTATTATTACTATTATTTATTACTGTATTTATGTTACTGTATTTCACTTGAATTATTCACTTGTCATTATATATTTTTATTTATGGTGCAATAAAGAGTTAAATAAATAATAATATTATAATTTAAATCAATTTAAACACAGACCTGTTGTTGAGCTAGCGCCGCAGCTCGCTGCATGGAGAGCTGTCGCCGCTTCTGCAGTTGCGCGACGAACATGGCCCGTTGTTTTGGGTCCATCTGCTGTAATTGCGCATGAGTCTGAGCGTCCAGGTGGATCAGCTGTCTACCGCCGCCGCCGGCCGTCCACGACACCTGCAAACAATGTTCAACAGACTTTATCAATAAATAATAATAAAATGGTAACCAGGTCTGCGCAGGGAAAAGGGTTTGTCAATAATGCCGACCACCCTGTTGCTAGTAATATACCCTATCAGGTCGACCTCCATGTGGTTCCCCCTAAAAACCATCGTGCAGAATTCCAGATTTATTTATCACGATGGGCTAATTGGCCTGCCTTTTTATTCTCACGTATCAACCCTCAATGGTACCCCGCTAGCATATACCGTTAGCGCAGGCGGAGCAACTATTCTATTATCATCCATTAAAAAACCCTGCTTGCACTATCGATACTTATAAGTTGGCTGGATACCAGTGAGAGATGATAGATGAAGATCATCACAATAACTTTAAGAAATAGAAGAACTAAACAGTATGATTTCTAGGGGGGCTGTGAGGTCGACCTAACTTACTGATTGCTAGTAATAGGGCCATTATATCTCTGATTATATTACTAAAATCCCTTTTCCAAAAACAAGAGGGTTAAAAATCTAGAAGCTTGCTTGAGTTTTGGACACGCTTTATAAACAAGAGGCTACTGGAGTTGTACACCACTGCACTTACAGTGTATGAATATGCAATAGTAAAATAACTAATTTATTTATTTAGCTTGTAGAAGATTTTAGTTATTATGAATAAGATGTTTAATTTCCAAAGTGAAAATTTGTAATTTAGTAAATGAAAAATATAGCAAAAACGACAATAAAGATTAGTTTAATATTTGTAAAAACTCACCCTAGGTCCCACACCACCTGGCTGGGCAATCTGTTGCCTCTGTTGCAAATATTGTTGCTGTTGCCATGAGACATTCTGTCCACCCTGCACTATTTGCTGACCTCCGGGTGATACTATCTGCTGGCCGCCACCATGAGTGATAATTTGTTGAATACCACCACCTGATGTCAACTGTGTGCCAGTCTGAGGAGACTGAGGGAGTTGAGACAAAACCTGCTGAGTTTGCCCAACTTGTTGACTGATTATCTGTTGGCCTGATTGAGTTACAATTTGTTGGGCTGATTGAGCTATCACTACTTGATGCTGTTGTCCTTGTTGGGTTATTACATGTTGAGCACCCTGTGACAAAACTTGTTGGTTGCCCTGAGTAATTATTTGCTGCCCACCCTGGTTTACAATTTGACCTCCTTGGTGAACTATCTGACTTTGAGATACAATCTGTTGGCCACTCTGTAGAGTTACTTGTTGGTTACCATGCACCAATATTTGTTGCTGCCCTGTGTGTTGATTGATCAACACCTGCTGAGGAGCTTGAACTATTTGTTGTTGCCCCGAGTTATTTAGTAGTTGTTGCTTTTGCACCAATATTTGATGGTGGGTCTGATTTATAGACTGACCTTGAGACCCAATGGACTGTTGGAGAATTTGCTGAGAAGTTTGTTGGATAGTGTGCTGTGGACTTAATTGTGGTTGCTGATTATTAATCAAAGCTTGTTGCTGGGTCTGCATGATTTGTTGCTGAAGTATAACTTGATTTTGTGGATTACGGGACTGAACCATTGGACTCCTGATAATTTGATGTTGGCCCTGGACCATCTGAATGTTCTGTTGTCTCCATGCTCCTTGCACTGGCACACTACTGCTCTGTTGGCCCTGAATGGTTTGTTGGACAGATTGTATTTGTTGTCCAATAACAGTCTGCTGTCCAGAATTTCCAACGAGTTGATTGAGCTGAACTCCTTGTCCTTGTTGACCCTGTGTTGATGTGACATGTCCCTGTTGACTGACCACACCCATATTGATGTTTTGTTGTTGGTTTGTTAGAGACTGAACAGTCTGTTGTTGTATTAAATTTTGATTTTGATTTGATAGTTGTTGTCCTGACCCTATTAACTGCTGAGTAATAACCTGACCTTGTGCAATATTTTGATTTAATTTCGCATTTTGAAAGCTTTGTGTGGACTGAGCCAACTGTTGTGCAATATTTTGAACAGCTTGAGATGCGCTTTGTTGACTTAGGCTCAAATTCTGTTTCATTGCTAAATTTTGTTGATTCAACTGTTGTTGTTGTATATTATTTGCACTTTGACTGAGCATTTGGCTTATATTTTCAATTTGTTGTTGTGCTGAACTCATAGAGGTGTTAGGGGTTTGTATGCTCTGTTGAATATGATGTTGGCCACCTTGTACATGCTGTATTTGACCAGATAAGCCCTGATTAATTTGAGACACAGAAACATTAGGTTGTTGGAATCCCTGTTGGTTAGGCTGATTGCCAATTTTATTTTGTTGCTGATGTTGCAATATTTGCATCTTAAGCTGATGTTGTTGAAGCATTTTCTGTTGTTGGATTTGTATTGCAGTCAAACCATGTGGTTGTTGTTGGGGCTGTTGTTGCCCCTGGGTATACTGTTGTTGTTGTTGTTGCTGTAAGCTAATCTGTTGATTTTGGGCACTAATTGCAGACTGAGAGACAATTGTATTCTGTCCAAATTTCTGCATTAACTGAGCATTTGATTGGCTGCTCGGCTGCTGTATTTGTAAGTTTTGTGTAACAACACCCTGAGGTATTGATTTGCTCATAATGCTTGATGTAGGCAATGCAGTGCTGGTGTAACCCAATGAACTAACTGTAGAAGTAGCTATAGATGATGAGTTTGCACTAGATGGAGGATGATTCCAAGGCATCCTTTGTTTTAGTTTATCTAATAGAGCCTGTGTACTATCATCTTTATTTTCCGTCATATTTTGTGTGGGAACTTCGTTTTTGGCTATACCTTCCTCAAAATCGAATCCAGTAATAGCACTAATCCGATCCATTGGCTTCGGAGGAGGTTGTGGTATAATCAGCAATTTTGGATGAAACACTTCAGCTACAGCTTGTAACCTAGCTCTTAAGCTTTCTAATACCCAATCAGGTGTAACTATTTTAATCTTAGAAGTAGGAAATGTAAGAGCGCTGTTGTATTTCTTCCCAGATGCCGAACCACAAATCAGATGTGAGCACTGACTGTCTAAATACAACTTTACTTTTCCACCATGATACGTAATTAGAGCAAACAACGATTTAGCGTCAGCAGCACTCACTTTTGACACACAAGCAACAACATTCGAGAATATCTTATTCCTGACTGGACTATATGGCTTAGGGTTGGCCAACTTTTTCAATCGAACGCAAGCGAGGACCCAATTTTCTGTCACAGCAGGGATCTGGTAGATGTCCTGTGCATCATCCAGGTCCGTGTCAGCGGCATTCTGACCACAAATTAGATGTGTAACATAGTCAGAAAAATATTTCGTGTTTTCAGCACCACCCGACTGAAGAAGTAGCATAATCTGCAATCAACAAAAGTGAATAAACACGTTATTTCAAAAGTAACACGTAAATAAAAATAAAACAAAATAATATAAACAAACCCTTTCGGACACATCGCCAGACAAGTAATATTTAACATCTTTGAATATTTGCTCGTGCAAAGTTAATGAATCCAAATCGTCAACAATCGTTACCATTTTCTATTTCACAAAAAGTTAAAAAAATAATTTCAAGACTGAATAAGTACACATTATAGATAAAATAATTCAACAAAACGCCGAAATCTACTCGGTATATACAACGACGTCCATGTTTGATTTTGATATTTACTATAATCTGTGGTAAGACTGGACAAACCAAAAAATATATTACAGATTACACCACAGATTAAAGAGACAAGTTCTACATATTAGACCTAAGAACAAGGAATTAAAAATCTTTGCATTAGACGTTTGTTTCTTTTCTTAAATGGTAATTGGTCTTTGTTTTTACGTTTATTTGTGGCAGAATCAAGTATTTTAATTTGTTTCATTCCTCAGAATACCGCCAAGTTTAACGTTTCCCGCCTTTTTCGACCACCATGTTATACCAACGATCATTATGTTAAATCAAGGAAAATCTTTTTAACCATATTTATTATACATTAATATATTAATTATATATAATACTACGACTATAAGTATGTTATTGAATTTTATATCATGTTGACTAATATAACCGTAATCACATGAAATTCATAGACACTCCTTTTATCGTAACTCATTACATGTTTTTTCCTTGGCTAAGACGGTGCTAGTGATAATGTAGCCATAGAATAAGGACTTTGTCAATAAAATAAAAATCTAATTTTATATATTAATTTTTCTGTGTATAAAGAATACCTTTATAAAGCTATAAATAGCTAATGTAATCGCTCAAAAAATATGTTTTTGAATCCAACGGTTGAGTACGTGCTATCAGTTAGTGTTAGTTTATAATTTTAGATTATTGCGATGTTTGAGGTTTTTCTATAAGGATTTAAATCATCTTTATAAAGGCTCGTAGGTGTCTGACGTGATCCCACTACCAAACAAAGTAGTATGATATACCCAATATATCCAATATACCCAAACAGGTCGACCTCCTCGCGGTTCCCCCTGGTAACTATCATGGTTAATTCCTGATGAATTCATCATGATGGGCTATCTGGCCTGTTTTCATTCTCATCTATCACCCTTCACTGGTGTTCCGCCAGCGTATCCCGTTAGCGCAGGCGGGGTTACCATACCATTTACACCCATAAAAAAAAACCGAAACATGGTTTCACACGATTGCCCGTATGCAAAAGCTTCAAGTTACACAGCGGGCTATGAAAACGGCTATGCTTGAAGGTTTTTCGCGTGATAGAATATAAAACGAAGATATCTGCAAAAGAACCAAAATAACCGACATAGCCCGAAGGATAAGAAAGCTGAAGCGGCACATAGCTTAAAGAACCGACTACCGATGGGAAAGAAGGGTTCTTGAGTGGCGACCGCGTACGGGTAAACGCAGTGTAGGACAACCTCCCACTAGATGCAGTGACGACCTGTAATGCATTGCAAGGAGTTAGTAGATGCAGGTGGATCAGGGCATTCTTTATGGAAGTCTATGGGGAAGGCTTATGTCCAGCAGTGGACGGATAATGGTTGAAATTAAACCTGTTTATACATACACGAATGTTAGACACTATTTTGTAGTATGACGTTTAAACATGTAGTAAACACCTATCTTTCGTAAGTTTAACTTTTTTGTAGTAAAACGGTTAAAAGTCAATTAATTTAAGCAACTACCGAATGACTCATGACTAGTGATGTGCTGATTCAGTCATTTTTGCATTCGTATACTTATTTTGGTAGTCGTTAAAAAGCAATTGAATCCTGACTCAAGTCTGATGACTCGCACAAGTACTCAAGACTTTATTCGAGTGCTTTATCAGACTCAAGTACATTTTTCTTCTTTTGAACAAATTTCTGAAGTGTATTTTTATAAGGATACTAACTTTTTGCCCGCTGCTACGTACGTATGGTTTTTAGAAGTAGGAAAGCCAATGAAATAGACTTCTAAATAATATATTTAGATAGAGAGAACATACAATAGTTTTTAAGTTAAATCTTCAGGAACACACTCACCAGAGGGAGACTTTGTACAAAAATCGATTGCTTGGGTACCTCTGTTTTATTCATGTTTCTACCGTGAAGCAGTTGTGTTTGCATGGCTGTGTTTCGGTTTGAAGGGTGGGATATGGCGTAAATTTACAGGGTATAGAGGAATAACACCTGAGTCCTCAGGAATGGCAACGCATGGGGGGTATCATGGGCGAAACAGTATGTGTGTACTGTTATGTCCATGAATCTGCTCATGTTACGACGACAGGCGACGATTACCACTTTCTATCAGGTGGGCCGTTAGCTTGTTTGCCATTCTAAGTAGTATAAAAAAAAACGGAGAAAATCGCGTTCAATTTAGTGCAGTAGTTTTTGCATGATACGGAGACAAACATACAGACAGCAGCAAACATTTCTAAAAAATATTGTTTTAACTTCTATTGCACCTATTTAAATTTCTTACATTCATTTTTCTAAAACATCTTTCATCGATGGATGGATGGATGAACATCGTCCATTTACAGTTTTACTATACTTAAGATTAAATGTTTAATAACTTAATAATTTTCCCTTTAGTAAGCAGGATAATATTAATAAAGTATCGAAATAGAAACAAACAAACTTATGTTAAACACGCCAATAATATTCGAGTGTCGAATGTTTTCGAAACATATGTTCAAATACCATGTATCCGTATTTTGTATTCGAGTTTCGATTATCTGAGTAATCATTAGAAATTCGAGTCATACGAGTACTCGAATCACTCTAGCACAACACTACTTGATACTATATTACCTCTATATCTATTGCTATTTCATTCTCATCTAGTTGGAGAGGTCTCACGCAACGCCTGCTTGACACCGCGTCGCAAACTGGTATTTCCAAAACGTGTTACTCATTTTCCTGGTAAAGCTGCGTACATATAGTAGACTTTAGTTCTTATAGTTTATTGTAATTTTAATTATTAAATAGGTACCTCAAAATTGTCTATAGTATTAAAAAAAATCAATTTCGTATAAATACAGTATCATATTCACCAGAGGGAGACTTTGTACAAAAGTCGATTGCTTGGATACCTCTGTCCCACTCATGTTTCAACCGTAAAGCAGTTGTTTGCATGGCTGTGTTTCGGTTTGAAGGACGTAAAATATGGCGTAAATTTACAGGGTACAGAGGAATAACACCTGAGTCCTCAGGAATGGCAACGCATGGGGGTATCATGGACGAAAAGTCTGTTATGTCCATGGTACTACTTATGTCTATAGGCAACGGTTACCACTTTCTATCAGGTGGGCCGTCAGCTTGTTTGCCATTCTAAATTGTATAAAAAAAATCATATTATTATTAATTCCTTTTCATTGTCTTATCTATGCAATTGATATTTGTCTGCATGGATAGTGTGTTTGCATTTTTTATTTTGTTTCATATCGCAGTAATTGACTACATACAAGTATAGGCATAACACCATTAGAATATCTGTTGCTTATGTTTTTTTATTTCTTATAATACAAATAAACGGGAGGGGGGGGAGGGATTGTTATTAATGACACTACCATTCCCATTGCTAGCAGTATACCTTGTCAGGTCGACCTCCATGTGGTCCCCCCTGGAATCCATCGTGATAGATAGATAGATAGATAGATAGATAAACACTTTATTTGAGCCATTTAACACACGTAAATTAATGAATAAAATGATACAATTTGATTATTTACATTTTTCAAATATAAAACAACATATAAAACATAAAATAATATTGGAGATATGTTTTCACCAAGTGTGTCGCAGTGACCCAAAAAGGCTACAGCTCAGTGATACTTTTGCTTAAAAGCAAAGCACTGATTTTCAGCTGCAACCTGAAGCAAGGCTACACGGACGCGTGCAACAAACCCAGAGTGCAACCTGTGTAACCAATTTAATAGCAAAAGGTAAAATTATATTATATAGATACATACTTATATAGATGATGCATAAATAATATAATATATTTCATTAATTAATTAAACATAATATTTAACATATATAAATAATAATTCGCCACAGTAATTATGTTAAAAGCAGTCGCTACCAGGCGACTAATCCAAATTTTTGCTTATTTAATAAATGTTGCTTTATCAATTTTTTAAAAATTGATTTGGATGCAGCTAGTCTCATTGGAGGGGGTATGTTATTCCAGCATTTAGTCGCCTGGTGGCGAAAACATCCGGTAAAAGCGACTGTCCTATGGTTATGAACCGCCAACGGGGGCCGCGTTGATCGAGACACATTACATCCATAATAATTGTTGAAAGTCGGAAATTTGAGTTTTTTATATAGATATTCAGGGGATTTAAATTTCAGAAGATCAAACATAAGTACAGCAAGGTGCAATCGTCTACGTGAGTCCATGTTCAACATAGATGCTTCATTCAAATATGGTGTAATGTGACTACGAGGTGAAACAACAAAGCAAAAGCGACAGCACGCATTCTGAATCCTCTGTATCATTCGACGAGATGAATTCGTGCTGGATTCCTAGTGTATTCATCACGATGGGCTAACTGACCTGCCTTTTCATTTCACCTATCATCATTCACTGGTGCCCCGTCAGCGTATACCGTTAATATAGGCGGGGTTACCACTCTATTGTCATCCATTAAAAAATGCATATAAACATATATCTATTCATTCATTTATAACACCCTAGTCCTTAGAGAATGGCAATGTATGACATTGAACTTTGTGTCTGCAGGCGACATTTAGCACTTACCATCATATGGACCGTCAGTATGTTTGATATTTAAAAAAAATTAAAAAGTATAGTTGAACATTCTGTGTACATGAGGTTTTAGGGAAATCACCGGGATTTTTTAAAGCAAAAGTATAACAAATTACAAATGGAATTGATACCAAAATCCAATTAAAAAAAGATGGGTGCGACCATGTATGGGAAAGTTTATATCCATCTAGTTATTTTTTTTTTTCTTTTTGTTACAAACATCAAAATTTATTATTTTCCCCACTTGTAAACCCGTTAGTCATTCAACGTGGTTTGGTTGGAAACTGTGTGTTGTAAGTTCAATGATCTAACGTGACTGATTAAAGGTTGAATGAAAGTTTTTTTTTATTGATAAAATAAAATTTACCACCCCATGCACTATCGGTTTATGGGGTTCACTATAGGGTTCCAGTGATCCTTCATTATCATCCGATAGGTGA